AAAACCAAAGAGATTTGAGTTTCAGGACTCTGTTTTTCTTTCCTACAGGGTGACTCCGGAGGCCCTCTCCATTGCTTGGTGAATGGACAGTACACTGTCCACGGAGTGACCAGCTTTGTGTCCAGCCAGGGCTGCAATGTCTCCAGGAAGCCTACTGTCTTCACCCGTGTCTCTGCCTACATCACTTGGATGAACAATGTGAGTCCTCTCAAAGGATGGGTTTAAAGGGTCCCCAGGACAATGGCTGGACAGGGGAAACCACCATACTCCCCACACTTGGCTATGTATCCCTTCCCTGGCCTCTTCTGTCCACTTCCCCTGAGTTCGCTTTCACATACCCATAAGCGGGTTTCACCATATTGGCTGAATCACTTACTCAGACCATAACAATTTGAACAAGCCACTTATCAGGCTATGGGAAAGTGAAGAGATAATAACAGCCACTTTCACAAGCTCTTTCTAAGAGCACTGTGCAAATTTGATCTACGCTTTTACAATAAGCTGTACACATCCTTGAGGGTTAGGTAAGAACTACCTGGACTAACCTAGTTAGTGGCAGAAACACAATTATCCCACCAATGCCTTCGGCAAATACACTCTGGAGTCTCGGAGTGTATTTGGCTCACAACGGTTTCCAAGTCTATCCCTGTCATTAAGTCCTGGGCATGTTCCTATGTCATTGACTTGTTCTGACAGTGGAGACCCACTTCCTGCCCCACCTCTCAACTCTTCACAAAACCATCAGAGAAAACTGATGAAAAAGAAGGCAGGTGAATCTGAGTTACTGGCTTTGAAATAACTGTTTTTTTCTTTAGGTCATTGCCTACAACTGAACATTTTCCTGAGAACAGCGGTGGTCTTCCCAAGAGGATTTTAGACTCACGGCAGGATTTGGAACCATCAAGGAAAAACCATTTCTAAGAGACCACTGAGGCAGACACAGAAAATAAAGCTTGAAAATACATCCTCGCCCTGTGTTCGTAACTAAACCCTCTCGCCCTCATTTATTTCTACAGGAAATTCAGATAATTCAGAAATTCAGGCCCAAATTGGATTTCACCACTTTTCTGAACTGGCTCTTCCTGTTGCTGCCACTTTTATACTTCACAAACTAAGCAAAGCAGGAGTGCATTTTCTTTTTTGAATTATTCTAGGACCCATCTAAATGTATCTACCCATTAATGTGCTTATCTGTTGGCTGCTATATTCAAAGGCCAAAAATCATTGCAAACCATCCCAAGTGTGATTCCCAAGGATGTCAAGTCTTCCCCAAACTAAATGTGTCCTGACTCTCTAGGAAGACTGTGGCAGCATTCTTTCTGTTTGGTTTTGGGCCACATCCAGTCGTGTTCAGGGTTTACTCCTGGCTCTGCACTCAGGGTCTGGTGGGTTTAGGGGACCATATGTGGTGCCAGGGATTAAGCTGTATCACTGGGTGCGAGAGAACAATCCTACCAGCTGTCCTATGGCTCTGGCCCCATCTTTTATTTTCCTTTAATTGCCTACCAGGTGGGGGAAGGGGGCTCACACCAGGGTTCCCGGAGTTGTCAGCAGGATTATGTGATCAGATGGAAGGTGAGATACCAGGGGACAAAGACAATGACAAATTTCAAAGGAGGCTAGAGAGGAAAGAATAGAAAGGAGGAGGGTGTGTGTGTGGGTGGGGGTGGGGAACACTTTGAACAAAGGAAGAAAAGTACTGAGAGAAAGAGGAGAACAGAGGGAGAGGAGACAATATGGGTGGGTTAGTGTGAGTCAGCACTTCCAGGTCAGCCCTTAATTAGGCAACCGGATCCAGGGTTCTATAAACAACAGAGAACCGTGGGGCTGATGATTCTGCCCTATCTTGCCCAAGGCTCTGTGTGTGTGAGAGAGCCCTGAACTGAACCCAGAGGGAACTGAAAGGAGAAGTTAAGAGAATGAGCCGCAGACTTTCATGGCAGTGACTGAGAACCAGACAAGACAAGAGCCCCGGGGTGGTGAAGACTGGAGCAGAAGAAACAGGCGAAGAGTGGGGAGAATTTATAGGTTCCTGTGTCAGCAGCGGGCTGGAGTCAGGATGCGTGGCCTCACTCCTCACTTCCACCACCCTGAGCAAGTTGCCCGCCAGCTCTGGGGCTCGGTTTCTTCCGCTAGTCAACCTCTAAAGCTGGTCCCTGTTCGAAAACGACCTGTTTTAGTGACAGCAAATTTCGGTTGCCAAGAGAAGCCACCAAAGGCAGTGGCTGGCCTGCATCGTAGAGGACACTGTGGGCTCAGGGGAGCGACACAGTCTCCTGCCAAAGACAGAGCTGCTGGTGTCACTTCTCCCTGTTTCCGCTTGGCTTTCCTCTCAGATAACCAACATCAAATATTTCCATTTTCTTCACCCTGCCCTACCAGACCATCCCCACAGTGAGCATCCAAAGTGAACCCCCGAGGGGCTGGAGCAATAGCACAGCGGGGTAGGGCGTTTGCCTTGCATGCAGCCGACCTGAGTTCAATTCCCGGCATCCCATATGGGTCCCCTGAGCACCGCCAGGAGTAATTCCTGAGTGCAGAGCCAGGAATAACCCCTGTGCATTGCTGGGTGTGACCCAAAAAGCAAAAAAAAAAAAAAAAAAAAGTGAACCCCCCCCTCCCCAAGCTAGGGAGAGAGGAGGTGGTGATAGTGGTAATAGTGGGAGTGGTGGGGTGTGTGGGGAGGGGGCTGCAGAGGGGAGAGGGGTGCAGTAAGGATCGAACGCCTCCTTTGCATACAAGAGCCCTGAGTTCAATACCCAGCACCACCGGGTCTAATCCCCCAAGCAAACCTCACACACACACAGAAAATGTATTTTGACCCTCTCCCACTCCTTCAGTGTGTTTTGCCTCCACTGTAAAATCCTTGAAGAAGGGGCTGGAGCGATAGCACAGCGGGTGGGGCGTTTGCCTTGCACGCGGCCAACCCGGGTTCGATTCCCAGCATCCCATATGGTCCCCTGAGCACCCCCTGTGCATTCATTGCCAGGTGTGATCCAAAAAGAAAAAAAAATCCCCGAAGAAACGGTTCCTCTTGACCTAGTGCACTGATTCCATCTCTCCCCTCCCACAGATAGGGAGTCATTTCCTTGTGGAGACCTTTTCCCTAGAGAAGCAACAGCTGTAAAGGCGGCAGCCACGCCCCAACTTGCACAAGCCTGAGTCTGTTTTCCCATGTCCTCACTACTCCAGGAAAACAGCCCCCCGGTCACCAGCTTCCGCTCTCTGCTCCTCGGCCCTTTGAAAGGAAGAGGCTTTCCTCTCCCACGTAGCCCGTTTCTTCCTCTAGCTCGGTGGCTCCTTTCAACGCCACCCTTGGAGGCCTGTCTACCTTCTGCCCTCTGTTGCTACGATTTTGAGGCTCCCAGCCCTCTTGGCGGAGGTTTTCTTGTCTTCAAACAAACAAACAACAAACCCTCAAGCTGGGTCCAGTGCAAGTGGGTAGGGTGTTTTCCTTGCACGCTGTTGACCTGCGTCTGATCCCCAGCATCCCATGTGGGCCCCCAGAGCACCGCCAGGAGTGATGAGCCAAGGTAAGTAAGCCCTGAGCATCACCGGGTGTAACCCCCAAAACCAAACCAAGAAAAAGCTGCGAGCTGAGACAGGAGCTATAGTACATTGGGTAAGGGGCTTGCCTTGCATGCAGCCAAGCCGGGTTCAGTCTCAGACATGCCAGATAGTCCCCCAAACGCCGCCGGAAGTGATCCCTGAGCACAGAGCTAGGAGTCAGCCCTAAGCACTGCCAGCCCCCAAACGAAACTACAAACCAACCAAAAACAAAACCCTGGCAAGCTGGGGAAGAAACGTGGTCTATTCAGCAAACTGGTGTCCATACTAAGAGAAACCTGCAGCTGCGATCAACAAACAAGCTCTCTGAGCAAGCATCACCCACCCTTCCTGATGGACCCAACAGGCACCTCAGTCCACGTGGGGAAAAGGCTTTGTGTGGGGACGGCTGCTTTCAATGCTCTGCAGTGACCCTTGAAGGGGCCACGCCTGAGGGCAGGCCGGTGGCCTCCTAGCCAGCTCCTGTTGGGCCCAGAGTCTGGGGTGGGCGTGGGTCCCTGCAGGCCGGGGGTAGTCACGGAGGGGGACAGCGGGGTGGGCTTGGGTGTGAGTGCATGCAGGAAGGGGTGGGCCCCGGGGCCAGCAGAGTGGACGAGGGTGTGGGTGTGTGCAGGGCGTTGTCCGAAAAGGGTGTGGGTGCGTGCAGGGGGGTGTTGGCCGAGGTGTGGGTGCGTGCAGGGGGGGGTTGGCCGAGGTGTGGGTGCGTGCAGGGGGGGTGGCCGAAGTGTGGGTGCGTTTGGGGGGGTGGAGGCGGCGGCGGTCTGGGTGCGTGCGGAGGGCGTGGCCTTGGCGTGGGTGCGTGCAGGGTGGGGGGGGGTGGCCGAGGTGTGGGTGCGTGCAGGGTGGGGTTGGCCGAGGTGTGGGTGCGTGCAGGGGGGGTGGCCGAGGTGTGGGTGCGTTTGGGGGGGGTGGAGGCGGCGGCGGTCTGGGTGCGTGCGGAGGGCGTGGCCTTGGCGTGGGTGCGTGCAGGGTGGGGGGGGTGGCCGAGGTGTGGGTGCGTGCAGGGTGGGGTTGGCCGAGGTGTGGGTGCGTGCAGGGGGGGTGGCCGAGGTGTGGGTGCGTGCAGGGGGGGGTGGAGGCGGCCGCGGTCTGGGTGCGTGCAGAGGGCGTGGCCTTGGCGTGGGTGCGTGCAGGGTGGGGGGGGTGGCCGAGGTGTGGGTGCGTGCAGGGGGGGTTGGCCGAGGTGTGGGTGCGTGCAGGGGGGGAGGCCAAAGTGTGGGTGCGTTTGGGGGGGTGGAGGCGGCGGCGGTCTGGGTGCGTGCGGAGGGCGTGGCCTTGGCGTGGGTGCGTGCAGGGGGGCGGCCGAGGGTGTGGGTGCGCGCAGGCCGGCGGGGGCGGCCCCGGGAGGGGCGTGGGGGCGGCGCGGGGCGCGGGGCACGCCGGGAGGCCGCACTTCCCCCCTGCCCGCCAGAAACCACAGGGCGGTGGCGGGGGCGCCGGCAGGATGGCCGAGGGCAAGGCGGGCGGCGCGGCGGGCCTGTTCGCCAAGCAGGTGCAGAAGAAGCTCAGCAGGGCCCAGGAGAAGGTGGGTGCCCGGGAGCCGCGGGCGCGGGCGCGGGTCCCGCCCGCCCGCCCGCCGGGGGATGCTCGGGCGCGGGTCCGAGGGGGCGGCGCGGCCGAGGCGCGGGCACGGGGGTCCCCGGGAAGGCGGCGTGCTGGGGGGCCCAGGCCCGGGCCGGGGGGCGCGCAGGGGCGCGCAGGGGCGGGCAGCGGCGGCCGTTGGCCGGTCGAACCCGGGCGCTGACCCCGACGGCCCCTGACCCCAGGCTGGCCGTTTGCCCGATGCCCAGGACTCCTCCGGCCTCGAGGCGGGCGCGGGGTGGGAGTGTGATTTGGGGGGCCGGGGTGGGGGCACACACCCAACGATGCGCACGGGAGACTCCTGACTCTGCGCCCAAGGGTCACCCCGCAGTGCTCGGGGGCGGTGTGGGAGGCGGGGACCCCCGGGTCGCGCTGCCCACTGTGCGCTCTCGCCACGCTGGACACGGGTGTCGCCCCAAGGCAGCACTAGCTTCAGGCAGGCTGGTCCCCCCGGAACTCACCCACGGGGTCGACAGCACCCACACCCCTCTACTAAGCGTTTTCCAGAAAATCCGCATCCGTCCTCCTGGTAGATGAGCTGTCACACGGAGATGGTCAGCCCGGAGAAAGGGGCGGAGGGGGACAAAGGCCCTGGGGTCCAGTTTTGGTTTTCTAAGGGGCTGTGGCCTTCGGAACATTTGGATGAACCCCGGATGCTTAAGAACTGAACTATTCCTATCATCTTCCAAATGCAGGCCGCCAGCCCCCCAAATTGGGAGACCCTACAGAGAATGGATAGATGGTAGGGACAATATATTTAAGAAGACTGTGGAAGGGGTGTGTGTGTGTGTGTGTGTGTGTGTGTGTGTGTGTGTGTGTTTTTAAAAAGAAAAAAAAATCTGGGCTGGAGCAATAGCACAGCGGGTAGGGCATTAGGTTTGCATGCGGCCAACCCAGGTTCGATTCCCAGCATCCCATAGGGTCCCCTGAGCACCGCCAGGGGTGATTTCTGAGTGCAGAGCTAGGAGTAACCCCTGTGCATCGCCAGGTGTGACCCAAAAAGAAAAAAAAAACAACAGATAAAAGAAAGCTCTAAACACTAAGTTGTGGATAATAGTTTTGGTTTTTTTTTTTGCTTTTTGGGTCACACCTGGCGATGCACAGGGGTTACTCCTGGCTCTGCACTCAGGAGTCACTTGGCGGTGCTCGGGGGACCATATGGGATGCTGGGGATCGAACCCGGGTCGGCCGCGTGCAAGGCAAACGCCCTCCCCACTGTGCTATCACTCCAGCCCCCTATATATATATATATATATATATATATATATATATATATAGGTAAAGGTAAAGGCCCTCCCGTTGATCGTCGATTTGCTCGAGCGGGCCCAGTAATGTCTCCATTGGAGACTTTGTTGTTACTGTGTCTGGCATATCGAATACTCTTGGTAGCTTGCCGGGCTCTCCGAGAGGGGCGGAGGAATCGAACTCGGGTCGGCCATGTTGGCCGCGTATAAGGCAAACGCCCTACCGCTGTGCTATCGCTCCAGCCTTATTTTTTTTTTTTTTAAGAACACATTTTTCTTCACTCTTTCATGACCTGTTCTCATCTAACCTGTCATTAACACTGTTTCCGTACTTTGAAATTTTTCTTCTTTTCTAAGCATGGACTCCGAAGTCTTGGGGAAACAGCGTGCCTGCCCTTGGTTTCAGATTCTGCATCAGTAAGATTAGAGAGTTGGGGCCAGAGCGATAGCAAAGTGGGTAAGGCCCGTACTTGCCTTGCACCTAACCAACCTGGGTTCAATCTCTGACACCCCATATGGTCCCCTAAGCACTGCCAGGAGTAATTCTTGAATGCAGAGCCAGGAATAACCCCTTTCGGGTGTGGCCCCCCAAAAAAACAAACAAGCAAACAGAAAACCTCAAAAGATTAAGAGAGAGTTGATGTTCAGTGATTTGGGGCATCAGAATGGTGACAGACTGAAGTGAGATGGGGGAGGGGCAGCAGAGGAGGGTGGGCCCCTTCAACTCAGAATCAGTTCTTTCCGAAGGGGAGAATCAGTTACCCAGATATTCCCAATACAAAAAAGCAAATGCAGAAGACGCAAACAAAAGAAGGACTAAATTCAAATTTACCCAGGGGAATTCCCACGTTGTGGCAGAGGACTAAGTTCTCAGAACTCAGAGAGGCACGAGCCTGGTGCATGCAGCTGGTGCCCTGCATCCCAAAAAACAAAACCCAAAAAACAGAACAAGAAAAAAGGACTTCCTGGGACATTTCACAATTTTTTTTCTTTTTGGGTCACGTCCGGCGATGTTCAGGGGTTACTCCTGCCTCTGCACTCAGGAATTACTCCTGGCAGTGCTTGGGGGACCATATGGGATGTTGGGAATCAAACCCAGGTCGCCACGTGCAAGGCTAATGCCCTACCCGCTGTGCTATTGCTCCAGCCTCTCATAATGTTTTTTCTAGGCAGTTGGCTGTAATCATCTGAGTAGCATATAATACTCTGTCAAATATCAAGTGCCTAATATGAGAAACAGGAATATTGGTAAGACAAAAATCTCTCTGTTATGGGGCTGGAGCAATAGCACAGTGGATAGGGTGTTTGCCTTGCACGCGGCCGACCCAGGTTCAATCCCCAGCATCCCATATGGTCCCCCGAGCACCGCCAGGAGAGATTCCTGAGTGCAGAGCCAGGAGTAACCCCTGTGCATCACTGGGTGTGACCCAAAAAGGAAAAAAAAAGTCTCTCTTTTTGTGGATTCAACATTTTCATGTTATAATCTCACTTTATCTTTTCTTTCTTTGGGACCAAATTTTGCAAGGGTTAGAGCTTACTCCTGGCTCTGCACTCAGGAATCACTCCTGGCTGACTCTGGGACCATGGGGTCACTGTCGCACTGTCCTCCCGTTGTTCATCGATTTGCTCGAGTGGGCCCAGTAACGTCTCCATTGTGAGACTTGCTGTTACTGTCCCATGGGGTATTAGGGATTAAAGCTGGGTCAGCCGTGTACGAGGCAAGCTCCCTTTCCTGCTATCCCATCTTTCCAGCTCCTTTATCTTGTCAAGCCCTTAAACATCTTTTTGTATCCCAGTTTTGGAAATGAGGAAACAGGGCTCGAGTGAAATTGACAAGTGGCAGGACTGTCACTGAAACCTAAGTGAGTCCTGCCTTTGGGCACCAAGCCCAGGCTGCTCGCTTCATGGGGTTCTGATAAATCGAGCAGATATCTGCACCTCCACCCTTCCTGCTATGCCTCCCCACTTCCTGCTGGTGTCTCAGATCAAAGCAGGGTACAGAGACACCTTTTGCTCACGTCTCAAGTTCAAAACTCCGAGTATGGGGCTGGAGAGATGGTAGAGCTGATGGGACACTTGCCTTGCCTGCAGCTGACCGGATTTGACACCCCGACCTCCTCCCCCCAGCCCTGCCCCTGTGATTCCTGAGCACAAAGCCAGAGTAAATTCTGAGCACAGCCTCAAAACCAGAAGAACAAAACAAACAGAGAAGAACCAGGAGTAAAGGTCAAGTTAAACACCATGAAGCTTAAGTATTTGTCTTGTTTCATTTCTAATTCCCACTCTGGACTCAACATGAGGTTTCTTCCAACTGACTTTATTGTGTTTTTACAGTGTACTGGAGCGATAGCACAGCGGTAGGGCGTTCGCCTTACAAGCGGCCAACATGGCCGACCCGAGTTCGATTCCTCCGCCCCTCTCGGAGAGCCCAGCAAGCTACCGAGAGTATTCGATATGCCAGACACAGTAACAACAAAGTCTCCGATGGAGACGTTACTGGGCCTGCTCGAGCAAATCGACGATCAACGGGAGGGCCTCTACAGTGTGCTACATCTGCACATTTCAGACCAGGGCTTGTGCCATTTTTTTTTTTTTTGCCATCTCTCAATGCCAGGCCTCTCAGAAGGGCATTGCTTATTATTATTATTATTATTATTATTATTTTGCTTTTTGGGTCACACCTGGCAATGCACAGGGGTTCCTCCTGGCTCTGTGCTCAGGAATTACCCCTGGCGGTGCTCAGGGAACCATATGGGATGCTGGGAATCGAACCCCGGTCGGCCGCGTGCAAGGCAAACGCCCTACCCGCTGTGCTATTGCTCCAGCCCCTGTTTATTATTCTTTTACTGATCTTTTACTTTGTTGCCTTTGGGGGAGGATTCACACCCCCAAGGTGCTCAGGGGCTACTTCTGGCTTGGTGCATGGGGTCAATCCCACTGGTGTTGGGGTGCCATGCAGTGCCAGGGATCAAACCAGGGCCTCCCAAGCTCAAAGGAACACACGCCAGCCCAGTGAGCTATCTGGGCGCCTCTGTGGACTTTTAGCCAGCTGATATCTTAGTGAATATTCAGTGAATATTTACAGAAAAATTCCTTTGTCCAGGATACAGGAGCCAATTTAGAGACGAATAAGAGAAATTCTTACCTGCTAACAGAAACACCATCAAAAAAGACTAAAGTGGTGGGCCAGAGTGATAGCATATCGGGCAGGGTGCCTGCCTTGTAAGCGGCGGACCCAGGCTCCAGCCGCAGCACCCCAGTTGGTCCCCAAGCTGGCCAGGAGTCATCCCTGAGTGCAGAGCCAGTACTAAGCCCTGAGCACTGCTGGTTGTGGACCCCATCAAACAAGAACAAAAATAGAAAGTGAGGCTCATTTAGGCAGCACATATGCTAAAAAACTTAGAGTGATACTGAGAAAATTAGCTGGCCCTTACTCAAGGATGACACGCAAAATCATGAAGTGTTCTGTATTTTAAAAAAGTAAAAATAGGGGCTGGAGAGATAGCACAGCGGGTAGGGCGTTTGCCTTGCACGCGGCCGACCCGGATTCAATTCCCAGCATCCCAGATGGTCCCCTGGGCACCGCCAGGAGTGACTCCTGAGTGCAGAGCCAGGAGGAACCCCTGTGCATCGCCAGGTGTGACCCAAAATGCAAAAAAAAAAAAGCAAAAATAAAGTGGGCCAAGTTTGTACGGTGGTAACGCACATACTTTGCATATATGAGGCCCAGGCTAACTCATTCACATACACACTCACACCCAGAAAATAAACAACCTAAAGATCTGCATAACTACAAGAACTTGGAGGACAGAAGGTTTGGGAGAATCGAAGCAGGTTTTATAATGGAGGCTGTACTTAAGAAAAGAACTTGAGAAGGACAAGGACGCTTCCTCAGGCCAGCGGTAAGAGAAGCTTCCAGCTGAGATGGACCCTCACGAACTAGGAAAGGAGTCTGGAAATTCTCTTCAGCAGAATAGTGAGAACTACAGCTGAACTAAAGCACAAGGAGTAACGGGGGAAAGGCTGGATGTTACATTAGGGCCATGTTAAGAAGAATTTACTTGCATATAATCTTAAAACAAGACTTTCTTATATAACTGTAGTTTCACACCTGAGAAGAATTTACTGAATTATAGTACGTGATTTTTGGCGAGGACCTGTAAACTTCCAAACATGGGTGCAGGCCTTTTGTTGGCCGACCTTTATCCTTCCACCCCAACCTATACCAACATTTAAATTGGTCAGTGAGCACTGGGATATTGTACCGATCAAGTCTTCATATTTTATCCCATTTTCTTTCTCTCTTGTCCTTTTTATGTAGTCTTAACTTTTCAGTGGTCATAATAGGCCTACTGGGTGCAGCACACTCAAAGATTTAGAAATTGGCATTGGCTGGGCTTTCATTTAGAAATAATCCTGGAGTCAAAGGTTCTCATTCTTTTGGTGACCATCTGTGCACTATCTGGGATGTTCCTTCTTCAAGGGACCCTGGTTCATGTGCAGTGTGTGAAGTTTGACATGTAGTCCTGTTGCTTTTGGCAACAGATAACTTGGGGCCCAGGGTAACTTGGATTATGCTTCAAGGATGGGAAGACACCCCTCTTCACTTTCAGAATTGAAGACGGGAGTGTCTCAACATACACACACACACACACACACACACACACACACACTCACAAACACACATCCCTCCAATCCATTTTCCCTTGATTCTTTTGTGAACTGGGGAGATTGATTGATCTGCCCTTGGCCGTGCCACATTGACGCTAACAAGAGTTGATTTCTAGCCTTTCAAGTCGCTTCACCTAAGAAGAACCAAATCTTTGGCAAAGGAAGGGAGGGGTAGCAGGAAGGAAGTGAGAACTGCATTTACATCACACAAGGTAGTTTTGCAACTGTATAGGAGACGGGAGTGTTTCTGGGGGGGGGGATGGGGAAACCAGAGAAGGAGTTGGTGTTTCTGGGGGGTTGGGGAAACCGGAGAAGGAGTTGGCTTCACACAGAGAAGGAGAAGACAACACACTCAGAGTCCAGTGTTGAGTGAGATGTTGTCTAGAAACACAGACATATGTGGGGTAAACTGAAAAGTGAATAGAAATTTATTTGTAGGGAAGGAATTAGAACTAGATCAAAAGGCAGTGGATTTGTCTATTTTACTCACTGTAGGGTTGTTCTGTGAAAGCAATTTACATGTTTAATATATTTAATTATCCCCAACTATTCCAGAAGATAATATCTTTACGCAGTGGGGGAAGATGAGTTATGCCTACTGAGGTTTAAGTAATTTGCCCAAAGGCTTATGGGCCAAGATGGGGCATATGTCGGTCTGATTCCATAACCTCTACTCAAGCATTATTCAGAGACCTCTGAAAATGAGAGATACGAACTCTAGGATTAAGAATGGAAGACTTGGGGCCAGAGAGGCAATGCAACGGGTAAGGCAGTTGCCTTACAAGTGGCTGATGCGGGTTTGATCCCTCACTCCCCATAGGGTCTCCCAATGGAGTGATCCCTAAGCATTAGAGCCAGGAGTAAACCCTGAGCCCCCAGGTGTGGCCATAAATCGACAGTAAGAAGGTGACTCGAGACCTGGGCAGGAGACATAGTACAGGGTTGGTAAAGCGCTTGCTTTGCATGTGGCCAACTCATTTGATTTCTTGCACCACATATGGTTCCCTATCACTTCAGTGTCGTAATAAGCCCTGAACACTTCTGGGTAGGGCCCCCAAATCAAACCCAAATAAAGGAAGATAGATAGTAAGGTGCTTGCCCTCCTTCCAAGTGGCTGACCCCGGTTTGATCCCCAGTATTGACCCTGAGCACAGAGCACCCGAGTACACCAAAAAAAAAAGGGGGGGGGTGGGGAATGGAAAGAATATAGGTCCCCCTGCTGGGGAGATAGTTTAAAGGGCTGGAGTGCTTCTCTGCTGGAGCCCACAGGGTTCCCTGAGCATGGTGGCCCCCCCAAGCACACCAATGTGGGGGCCAAAATCAAAGGCCCCAGAGAAAGAACTCAAAGGCTTTGCGTTTTCAGAGTCATACATTCAATCCTGAGCATGGCCCAGAGCCGGCTGGGGGCCAGAATGAAGGACCAGGGATATAGCTCACAGTCAAGGAGGTGCTTGGATCAGTTTCTGCAGAAAAATCTTCCTCACTCACAAGACTTCGGACTGTGCTTGGTTTAGTAGCACTCACACTGAGTCACTGATCTCCACCTAACTCCCTTACCCACCATGCCCATAGCACACCCCTAAGCAGATGTGCTGAGCCTTCTTGTGAAGCTGCAGGTGGTGGTGTTTTTTTCTTTTCTTTTTTGGGGTCACACTCGGCGATGCACAGGAGTTACTCCTGGCTCATGCACTCAGGAATCACTCCTGGCAGTGCTCAGGGGACCATATGGGATGCCGGGAATCGAACCTGGGTCAGCTGCGTGCAAGGCAAACGCCCTACCGGCTGTGCTATTGCTCCAGCCCCCCTGCAAGTGGCTTTTACATACTCCCGTGACTGTGTGCAAGTGGTATGCCTGGAATTCGTTCGACCCCTCTCACTCCTTACACTGTATTCCCATCTAACAAAATTTCATTTCAAGTCTCAGTCCATTATTTATTTTTTATCAGTCTCCCCTTCCTGTTGTAAGAGTGAAATGTTTTGGATACTGTGACATCTATGTCAGTAAAACAAGTGCCCAGCTACCAAGGAGCTCACAGTTAACTTTTTTGTTTTGGGGACACACCCAGTGAGCTCAGGAACTAGCTGTGTACTCCTAGCTCTGTACCTCGGAGTTGCTTTGGTGGTGCTCGAATGTTCTCATAGTGTGGAGGATTGAATCTAGCAAGGCATGACCCTCTATGCTCACCTCTTTGCGCCATCTACTGACTCCAAGACCTTATAATTTTCAAGGACTCAAAGAGGGACTGAAGAGAGAGTACTGGGGGTAGGGCACTTTGCGTGCTGCTGATCCAGGTTCAATTCTTGGCACTGCTTATGGTTTGAGCACTGCCAGGAATGATCCCTGAGTGCAGAGCCAGGAGTAAACCCCGAACACATCTGGGTGTGGTCCCAGGGAACAAAAAGAGATGTAGATAAATAATAAAAGTTTTAGATAAGTGGCTGGAGCGATAGCACAGCGGGTAGTGCATTTGCCTTGCACGCAGCCTGCCCAGCCAAGCCGAGTTCGATTCCTCCGCCCCTCTCGAAGAGCCCGGCAAGCTACCGAGAGTATCTCGCCCGCACGGCAAAGCCTGGCAAGCTCCCCGGGACGTATTCGATATGCCCGACACAGTAACAACAAGTCTCACAATGGAGACGTTACTGGGCCCGCTCGAGCAAATCGATGATCAACGGGAGGACCGTGACAGTGACATAGATGCGGGGCTGGAGCGATAGCGCAGCGGGTAGAGCATTTGCCTTGAACTCCAGAGTTATTCTGTTAGGGTCCGAGCTCAGGACAGCCTCACCTGTCAAGGAAAACTCTGAGAGACCAAGTCCATGAGAAATCAAGAGGTTTATTCGAGCATGCTCAGGCTCACAGCATGACTGCAAACCGTCAGTGACTGAGAGCCCGGAGCCTCTTCAAAGGGGGCTTTTTATAGGGCATCTTCCCGCGCATTTCAGAAAGCCCGCGCACAAATCACCCAATACATTTGAATTTTCACATTAGATGCTGCACGCAGGCAGCCAATCATTTTGCAACAAGCCATCAGCACCAGCCACTCTCTTCTGTACCTGTCACCAGGCCCTCCCAGCGGGCAGTCAATTAGGCCTTTTCATTAGGCCTTCTCCGGCCTTGTGGCCTTATCTGGCGAATTCCAGGTGCAAGGAGGAGAGGGAGGTACTTGGTGTTGGGCCTTGTTAGGTGGATTCCAGGACAAGGAGATGCCTCATTAGGCCTTCTCCAGCCTTGTGGCCTTATCTGGCGAATTCCAGGTGCAGGGAGGATTTGGGGGTACTTGATGTTGCTAGCCTGCCGCAGCTGCAGGACGGGACATGGGCTGGGACTTGCTTTGCTAGGGCCCAATTGCCATGGGTCTCTCTTTCAGTTCTAATAGTGGCATAGATCCCCATTGTTTCCCGTCTAGGGGATTTTAGAAAAGACAAGTGCGTTCAATATGGTGTATTTAGAACATGATATTTTCATTTTGGTGGGTGTCCCATTTATACTTCACCCCATTTCTTTAGTCCTAAGGTTATGTTCCTGTTTCTAGAGTTCAACGGTCAGTTTCATTTAGACTCTCAATTCCCAGAATAAACACAATGTCTCAGGGCAAGCCCAGGGTCCCTGGCTTACTAATATCACAGATTTACCCATTTTTTTGTTGACATGGCTTTTGTCTCAGTTTTTGCTTTTATTTTCTGGCAGATAAGTCAGGCATTTTATTGGGCATTTTAGATGTTCTACAGAGGAGGAACTTTATCTTTGATTCCCAGCATCCCATAGGGTCCCCCGAGCACCGCCAGGAGTAATTCCTGAGTGCAGAGCCAGGAGGAACCCCTGTGCATTGCCAGGTGTGACCCAAAAAGCAAAAAATAAAAGATAAAAGTTATAGATGTATATGTTTGGTATAGAAGTTGTATCTTAGTTAACAGAATGAATAAATGTCTTAGTCACAAGAGATGTACAGAGGAACTGGGTGGTTTTAACGTTTCCCTGAAAGATAAGGTGGCAAGGGGCTGTCCAGAAAGAGAGAACCCCATCCGTTACAGACAATGCTGTGGCTTGTCTAGTAACTAGAGAAAATGTCAAGGAGGGCAACCGGCAGGAAGGAGGGATAATGGGAGCTGAGGCTTCCTGAAGGGTGTGCTTAAGGAGACCTATTGTGTGGTCCAGCTTGAACTATAATTTGCAGCTACATAATGGCATTTATCAAAAATGTACGGATTAGGGCTGGAGAGATAGCACAGCGGGCAGGGCGTTTGCCTTGCATGCGGCCGACCTGGGTTCGATTCCCAGCATCCCATATGGTCCCCTGAGCACCGCCAGGAGTAACTCCTGAGTGCAGAGCCAGGAGGAATCCCTGTGCATCGCCAGGTGCATTGCCCAAAAGCAAAAGAAAAAAAAATGTACGGATTAAGCGAATGGGGAAGATCATCAAAAGGTTGTGTTTGGTTGCTTTGTTTTGCTGCTCTGGGATCCATACCTGTCTGTGCTCAGGCTGACCCCTGCTCTGTGCCCAGGCATCATTCCTGGCAGTGCTTGAGGCATCATGTGTGGTGCTGAGGATTCATCATGCCTGGATCTGCTGCATGCTGGGCAAGCCAAGTCCCTCACCCACTGTAATATCACTCTGCCCTCATCAAAAGCTTGTGCGCTCCAGTGTGGGGCCAGGAAAGATAGCTTGGAAAGCTGGAGTGCTGGCTTTGCATGTACAAGGCCCATGTTGGATCCTTGACGCTGATTTTCCCCAGCCTCTCTGGGAGGGTCTGCTTAAAGGAAAACAAGAACCAGACAGTGGATAAAGAAGTGATGGTACATCTACCTCTATGGAATACTATGCAGCCATGAGGGGGGAAAATGAAAGTCATGAAATTTGCAACATGGATGGACATGCAGAGTGTCATGCTGAGTGAAATGAATCAGAGGAGATGGACAGACGTTCATTTGTGGGAAAGAAACACAGAAGGAGACTAATACCTAAAGACTAGAAGAACTAAGGCCAGAAGGACTGGTCCTTAATAGATAGCTTGCCACGGTTGGGGGAGGGTGGGTAGGTCAGAGAAGTAATGGTGAGAAGTGATCGCCCTGGACCGGAACTGAGTGCTGAGCTAACACTCAGTAACAGTATTGTAAACTCCAGTGCCTAGAAGGAAGAAAGAAAAGTGCCTGCCCTAGAGGCAGGCTGGGGAGTGGGAGAAAAACTGGGGGCATTGGTGGAGGGAAGTGGACACTGGGGAAGGGATGGGTGTTGGGATGTTGTATAACTGAAACTCAAGCATGAACAACTTCATAATTCTGTATCTCACACTAGAATTCAATCAAGTTTGTAAAAAAAATTTTTTTTTCTTTTTTTGCTTTTTGGGTCACACCCAGCTGATGCTCAGAGGTTACTCCTGGTTCTGCACTCAGGAATCACTCCTGGCGGTGCTTGGTGCTTGGGGGACCATATGGAGTGCTGGGAATCGAACCCAGGTTGGCCGCATGCAAGGCAAACGCCCTACCCGCTGTGCTATTGCTCCAGCCCCAAAAAAATTTTTAAAAAGCAAAAGTTTGGCAATAAAGCAATAAGAGGTCCATTGGAACAAGCCATGTGAGAACAATAAAGGCCCACACTAAAACTACAGCAGTGGGACTGGCGAGCATCAGTGGGAATAGTGAGGGATTTGATGGAGGCAGGTGAGGGCAACTCCTGGGATTCTGACTCACAGGACTCGGGGGAATGGGGGAACGAGAGTCCCTTTTTCCAAAAACAGCTTACATGTAGAAGCATTGGGAGTTTGTTACTATGTTAAATCGTTTGTTTATAAGTGATTGTTCCCTGTGAGAGCAAATACTGGATCTTCCTCATTTCCAGGTCTTTTGCGTTGCACCAGGATCCCGGGTGGAGAGGAAGTGGACATGGATAGCATTTATTTTAGCTGAGATTCAAATATCAGGACTTGTCAGCGTTTCCCATAGTGGCCTGTCTACGTTTTGTTTGGTTTTGGGCCACACCTCGTGGTGCTCAGGGGTTCCTCCTGGCTCCGTGTTCCTTGCCATGCTCGGGGGACCATGTGGGATGCTGAGGATTCAACCTGAGTTGGCACCTGCAAGGCAAGCGCCCTCCCCACTGTTCTGTGGCTCCGCCCCCTCTAAGAGGTTTCTGCCCAGCTCTCTAACGTAACATTTTATAGAGGAATTTGCTGGAACACCTGCAAGTGGGTTTCAAGTGAGACATCACTTCAAGTCCCTTTTATTGTGTTTGGTTTGGGAGCCACAGCTGGCTGTACTCAGGCTTACTCCTAACTCTGTGCTCAGGGACATTCCTGGTAGTGCTGCAGGTATCGTATGTGGTGCTGGGAATCAAACATAGGTCGACAGTATGCAAGGCAAGTGCCTTACCTGCTGTACTGTCTCTCCAGCCCCTGCCCCCATGGGTGTTTTTATTAATTATTTTTTAATTTTTTGGTTTTTTTTTTTTGCTACACTTGGCAATGCTCAGGTGGTAACTCCTGGCTCTGCGTTCAAGAATTGGGGTCAGAGTGATGGTACAGTGGGTAGGGCATTTGCCTTGCACACATCTGATCCGGGTTCAGTCTTCGGCATCCCAGATGGTTCCCCGAGCACCGCCAGGAGCAATTCCAAGAGTAAATTGGGTAAATTTGGGTCACACCAGAGCATCACCAGGTGTGACCCGAAAAGCAAAAAAAAAAAAAATGAAATAAAAATTATTCCTGGAGGTTCTTGGAATTATTCCAATATAGTGGATCCTCTGATCCCTCTCTCCCTTGGGAGACCAAAGGGATGCTGGGAATTGAACCTGGGCCAGCCACGTGCAAGGCAAGCATCCTACTTGTTTTTTGTTTTTTATTTTTTATTTTTTGCTCTTTGGGTCACACCCAGTGATGCACAGGGGTTACTCCTGCTTCATGCACTCAGGAATTACTCCTGGCCGTGCTTGGGGGACCATATGGGATGCTGGGACTCGAACCCAGGTCAGGCTGCATGCAAGGCAAACGCCTTACCCTCTGTGCTATCACTCCAGCCCCGCTTTTTATTTTTAAAAGCCAATATACATTTTACATTCTTCTTATTATGCTTCATTTTACGTGGCATTCCCCTCCCCCCCTCAAAAAAAAGAAAAGCCCCTTGTCAATAATACTGCATTCCAGGAAAATCTACCATGTATTTTCGGAACCTTTTATATACTTCCTCACATTCTGCTTCATATCCCTAAAATGTCCTCAATGTGAAAACAACCACTAAACGTTATTTTTCCCCCAACTAAGCGTTAATTTCTCTTTTTCCCCCTCCGTGTTGGAGGCTTGCTCATACCTGGCAGTACTCATGGGCCCCTCCTGGCTCTGTGCTCAGTGGTAGGAGACTTGCAGCCCCAGGGATTGAACCTGGGCTTCCTGTGAGCGAGGCAAGTACTTCGCCCACTGAGCTACCTCCCCAGGCCACAGTGTTGCCTTGCTAATTATGGAAGGCTGATGCAACCATGGCCTTCTGTTCCTTTCGGTCCCTTCTAAAACTCAGGGCCATGGGACTGGAGTGATGGCACAGCAGGGAGGGCGTTTGCCTTGCGCGCAGCCAACCCAGGTTCAATTCCCAGCATCCCATAGGGTCCCCCGAGCACCGCCAGGAGTGATTCCTGAGTGCAGAGCCAGGAGTAACCCCTGTGCATCGCCAGGTGTGACCCAAAAAAAGGCAAAACCAAAGCAAACATAAAACTCAGGGCCTTGTGATGCTGATCGATGGGAGAGCCTTGACTGTAACTTACGGGACTTTCTGACTTACATCCCAGGTACTGCAGAAGTTGGGGAAAGCTGTGGAAACCAAAGATGAACGCTTTGAACAAAATGCCCACAACTTCTACCATCAACAGGTAAATCGGGAGTGTGGGGAAGGGCTGCTTGGAGGCGGAGAGAAGATACTGGCTAAGTGGCAGGTGGACAGAGGGTTCTGCAAACCAGCCAGCGACCCTGACTCACCCTTCCTCAGGGATCAGGGCCCAGGGCGACTTTCTGCTCTTTCCTACCTTGGGGCCAGAGAGACTCTCTTTTCCTGTTCCTGCTGACTTGAGTTTTGAGTCTGTCACGTGTCTTCTCCTAGTAGTTCCCCAAGATACAGTGACACCCTAACACTTCACTGTCTGTCACTGTCATCCTATTGTTCTTTGATTGCCTTGAGCAGGCCCCATTAACATCTCCTTTGTCCTAGCCCTGAGATTTTAAAAGTACTACATTCGAGGCTTCTTCAGGGTCAGGAGAATGAGATCCATCATTGTTACTGGCTTTTGGCATATTGAATACACCACAGGGAGTTTGCCAGACTCTGCCGTGTGGACAGGATACTTTTGGTAGCCTGCCAGGTTCTCCAGAGTAAGAACAGATAATAAGATGTCATGTGGCTGCAGATGTGACCGCGTGCTTCCGGGAGTAGGGTTTTATAGTCTCTGGGTCTTGGCTGTTGATGGGATCACACAGCACCGGGGACAGTTGGTGGGTGTAATGCCTACATACTGGAAGATGGGGGATCTGGGTGGAGGAGGCCCCAGTCCCGATCCGAGCAAGCTTGGAGATCCGGATCCCGCACACCTCGGTTACTCTGCCGGTTCCTTCACGCGTGAGGCTCATCTGAACATGTGGAGAGTGGTCTTAAGCATGGCTTTGGCTGGGTCCCGGAGGTCTTCAGCTGCTGGGGCTCTGCTCGGGGTGGGGAGGGAAACTCAACCCACCCTCCTCCAAGGGACCCCGGTGAGGATAGCCAGGTACGGAGGCAGGAGACTCTGCACTGTTCTCTTCTAACACTTCATTGTGAGCAAATTCATTTCCTGCAGGGCCCTCCTCCTTCTCCAAGGGCTCTTCCTATCTCAGCCACCTTGCTCTCTCTGCTTCCCATGCTGCCTCTCCGTTGACATTCATCCTAAAGTATTACCTCCATTGTTCACCTGTCACTCTCATCACACACCTATTCTCACTTTTTTCCCCTCCTATTCTCATTCTTTCCTTGATTTGCACTCGACTGTCACTGTCACTATCCTCCTGTTGTTCATCGATTTGCTCAAGTGGGCCCAGTAACATTGCAAGACTTTTTGTTACTGTATTTGACATATCCAGTACACCACGGGGAGCTTGCCAGGCTCTGCCGTGCGGGCGAGATACTCTTGGTAGCTTGCCAGGCTCTCCGAGAGGGGCGGAGGAATCGAACTCAGGTCAGCCAGGTTGGCTGCATGCAAGGCAAATGCCTTACCCGCTGTGCTATTGCTCCAGCCCTTGCACTGGACATCAGAGGTAATTATATATAAAATATTTTACATGGTCCTCCAGGCTATCAGTGGGGAAACGTTACTGCAAAGAAAAAGAAGTAGGTAATTGGCAATGTCTATGCCAAAACAGCAGCAAGAGAATGAAGTTATCTCTTGGGCCTGAGCAATAGTGTAGCGCATAGGACTTGCCTTGCATGTGGTTGACCCAGGTTTAATCCCTGGCACTACAGATGGTCCCCTAAGCACAGAGCCAGGAGTAAGCCGTGAACAAAGCCCACAGTGGCCCAGAAACATAAATAAATAAATAAATAAATAAATAAATAAATAAATAAAGTCTTCTATCTGCTTTTTAAAAAGTGGGAGTGTGGTGAGATAGGACAGGGGTTGAGGTGCTTGCCTTGTACATAGCTGGGCTGGCACCACGTATGTTTCCCCAAAAACTGCCGAGAGTAATCCCTGAGCACAGAACCGGGGTAAGCCCTGAGCCCTGCTGGGTATTCCCCCCCACACACACACACACATACACACATTCGTTATTCCATCTCCATATCTCCATGTGCCTGACACGCATTTCTTCTATCAGTCCTAGATGTTGTGATCCTCACTAGAGAATTATAAACTTACCCAGTTCCAGGGCAGTGATTGCAAAACTGACTTCCCAGAGTCGGGTCCCATTTCACAGCACATCCCTCACTGCTTCACTTCAGACACCAGCCACTAGCTCCAATTCCCAAATCACCAGCTTGCTACACATGGAGCTAGAAGGCCCTAAACTGCCATAAGTTAGGCTTTAGAAAAGCCCATCGTTACCATGGTAATTGCATTAGAAAGAATTCCAATTCATATCAGCACATGAAGGAACAGTGGAGGTGAAATCTGGGAGGATCCGCATTTTTAAAAATTATTTATTTATTTATTTATTTATGTTTGCTTTTTGGGTCACACCTGGCAATGCACAGGGGTTACTCCTAGCTCTTCACTCAGGAGTTACTCCTGGCGGTGCTCAGGGGACCATATGGGATGCTGTGAATCGAACCCGGGTCAGCCGCATGCAAGGCAAACGCCTTCCCCGCTTTGCTATCTCTCCAGCCCCAGGATCCGCGTTTTTAGCACTTCAACCTTCCAGCACACTTACAACCTTACAGCTCACCATGCAGGGGAGACATTGAGCCTGGCTGCGATCTCCTTACACAGAGACTCTGTTTGTTTTAGGGCCACACCCGAAGATGCTCAGGGGTTTCTCCTCTAGTGGTGCTGGGAGAACATAGCGGATGTCAGGGATCTAGTCCCCGTGGGCTGCATGCAAAGTGGAAATGAGCACCCTCCTGGGTCTACCATCCCACAGGTCTCCTTGCTCCAGTGCTCACAAGGTTGTCTTCACAAGACCAGCCTCCCTCCAGAGGAGTCATTTGTTTAGGGACCGCCTATGAATAACAGAGACACCTTTATTGCTCAGAAAAATCCAAGGATTTACATTTTTTATTATTATTATTATTTTTTTTTTTTGCTTTTTGGGTCACACCCAGCGATGCTCAGGGGTTATTCCTGACTCTGCACTCAGGAATTACTCCTTGCAGTGCTGGGGGAACCACATGGGATGCCGGGGATTGAACCCAGGTTGGCTGCGTGCAAGGCAAACACGCTATCTGATGTACAATCGCTCCGGCCCTGGAAAGTAATTCTTAAAAATCATAATAATATTAGCTATCATCTAATTCAGTAGCTGACTGATCAAAATCATGGGTGGGGTGGTGGGGGAGTGGGGAGCGGCCCTGCTCACTGAACAGTCTCTCTAAATGAGTATTTGGTTTTGGGGCCACACCCTGTTGTGCTCAGGGTTTATTCCTGGCTTGGTGCTTACGGCAGTGCTGGGATTTATCCAGGACTGGCCACGTACAAGGCAAGAGCCTTTCATCCTGTACTATCTTCTAGGCCTTCTAGATGACTTTTAAAATATAATCGCAGGGCTGGAGAGATGGCTCAAAGAAGGCATTTGCCTTGCATTCAGACCTGGGTTCAGTCCCAGTTATGGTCACTCAGGCAGGTCCAGGATTGATCCTGTTGGAGCAGGCACAGACATTCAGGTTCTTGTCCTCCAGCAGTCAAAACTGGAAGCAAAGGTCTGGAAGACAAAGTTTTCTGTAAAATGAAGAGCAAGTAGCTCTTTAAAAGACTTCAGGGGAAAAAAGGAAGGGAGAGTAAGGCTCGGATGATAGGGTCTCCAAAAGTAGGATTTAGAAGAAGGTTTTCCCTTTTATACGTTTTTAACAAAAGTGGGTGGGTGAGTATTTCTTTATCAAGCTCTAAGAATGTGGGCCATTAAAACTGGAGAGAGGGAGGCTGGAGAGATAGCACAGCGGGTAGGACGTTTGCCTTGCACGCGGCTGACCCGGGTTCGATTCCCAGCATCCCATATGGTCCCCTGAGCACCGCCAGGAGTAATTTCTGAGTGCAGAGCCAGGAGTAAGCCCTGTGCATTGCCAGGTGTGACCCAAAAAGCAAAAAAAAACCCCATAAAACTGGAGAGAGGATGCTGAGATGATTCTCTCCTGGTGTCTAGAAGGGTTTCCATCACCCAGGTTACCAGGCACCACTAGGCCTCCTTTGCAGCCTTCCAGACCAGTGATGACTTTCTGTGAAGGACCATACAAGGATTAACCCCCAAGCGCTGGCAGATGTGGCTGCCAAACCCAAACAAACCAAGCTAAATAAAATAGAACCATGGGCTGGAGCGATAGCACAGCGGGTAGGGCGATCGCCTTACAAGCGGCCAACATGGCCGACCCGAGTTCAATTCCTCCGCCCCTCTCGGAGAGCCCGGCAAGCTACCGAGAGTATTCGATATGCCAGACACAGTAACAACAAAGTCTCCAATGGAGACGTTACTGGGCCCGCTCGAGCAAATCGACGATCAACGGGAGGGCCTTTACCTTTTACCTTTATGGTACAACTTATGCCTAACTTGTGCAAGGCCCTGAGTTTGATCCCTGGTGCCATGTGTCCCTCCAGACACTGCTGGTGTGATCCTGGTCATCCTCTCTGACACCACCCCACCCCTGAGCTGGGTCAAGCTCTGTTCCAGAGTGGTGCTGGGTTTGCAGCAGTAGTGGGCACGGCCCCTGTAAAAGGAAACAGGCTGGAATGATGGAGCCACTGGGTCGGAGCACACACTTTGAATGCCTGAAGCCTTGATCTGATCCCCACTGCTGAGTGGTCTCCTTAGAAGTGACCCCTGAGCACCAAGCCAGGAGTAGCCCTCAGCACTGCTAGGTGTGGCCCCAGAACCATAAAATAGAACCTCAAGGCCATTGTGATACCTAAAACTAGCTTTTCTACTCATTCCAACAAATCGGAAAATCACGATCACGATCACGATCATCCTGTTGTTCGTCGATTGCCTCGAGCAGGCACCAGTAACGTCTCCTTCGTCCTAGCCCTGAGACTCTAAAAAGTGCCACATTCAAGGCTCTTTCAGGGTTAGGAGAATGAGACCCATCATTGTTACTGGTATTTGGCATATTTAGTATGCCACGGGGAGTTTTCCAGACTCTGTCGTGTGGGCAGTTTCCATTCGGTGCCCTGACAGGTTGTCAAAAGCAAGAATGAGATAATAAGGCATTTGCGGCCGCGCACTTCCGGGAGCTGGGTTTTATAGTCTCTGGGTCTTGTCCGTTGATGGGATTACACGGCCCCAGGGGGCCAGTTGGTGGGTGTGACCCCCGCCTACTGGAAGATGGAAGATCTGGGTGGAGGATGCTCAGCCCCGATCTGAGCAGGCTTGGAGATCTCAGCCGCGGGACCCACATGCCTTTGTTCCTCTGCCGGTACCTTCATGCGTGTGGAGAGTGGTCTCAGCATGGTGGTGGCTGGTTCTGGAGGTCTTTGACTGCCGGGCCCTGGTGAGGACAGTCAGGCACGGGGTAGGAGACTCTACTTTGTTCTCTTCCGGGAGCTTAGTGTGATAATCTCTGGATCCTGGTCGTTGTTGGGGTTACAAAAAATCATAACCACAACCATCCTGTTATTCGTCAATTGCCTCGAGCAGGCCCCAGTAACGTCTCCTTCGTCCTAGCCCTGAGATTTTTTTTAAAAAGTGCCATATTCAAGGCTCTTTCAGAGTTAGGAGAATGATAAGATGTCACGCGGCCGCAAATGCGGCCGCATGCTTCCGGGAGCTGAGTGTGATAATCTCTGGATCCTGGCCGTTATTGGGGTTACACGGCAGTTGGTGGGTATAACTGTCTAGCTACTGGCAGGTCCAGTCCCAAACCGCGCAGGCTTGGAGATCTCAGCCCCGGGTCCCACACACCTGGGTTCCTCTGCCAGTTCTTTTATGCGTGAGGCTCATCCAAGTGTGTGGAGAGTGGTCCCAGCATAGCCTTGGCTGGGGCCCGGAGGTCTTCAGCTCTTGGGCCCTGGTGAGGACAGTCAGGCACAGGGTAGGAGACTCTGCCTTGTTCTCTCCCAGGAGCTGAGTGTGATAATCTCTGGATCCTGGCCGTTGTTGGGGTTACACGACAGTTGGTGGGTGTAACTGTCTAGCTACGAAAAATGTAATTGGAAAATATACCAAGAAAAAATGGAATTAGAAAGCTGGACTGGAGCGACAGTATAGGGGTAATACCTTGCACTGGCTGACCCCAGTCTGTTCCCTGCACCACATCTAGCCCACAAGCATCACCAGGAGTGATCCCTGAGCACAGCCAGGAGAAAGACCTGAGCACTGCGGAGTGTGCCCTCCCCCCCAGTTAGTCATGGGCAGTGACCCCTGAGCTGTGCAGGAATAGCTCCTGATCACCTGGGGTGTGGTTCTAAAACCAATTAACAATCACTTAAAGTAAGCATTTTATACCCTCTCATGCTCCAACCATGTTTTGGGTTTTTGTTTTAAAGCTTTATTTCTCATTCATTTTTTTCTTTCTGGGTCTCACCCGGTGATGCTCAGGGATTAGTCCTTGCTCTGCACTGTTACTCCTGGTGGTGCTCGAGGGACCACATGGGATGGCAGAGCTCAAACCTGGGTTGTCTGCTTGCAAAGCAAATGCCCTCCCAGCTGTACTGTTGCTCCAGCCCCTCTCCCATTTTTTTGTTTTGTTTTGCTTTGGGACCACACTGGGCAGTGTTCAGGGGTTTGATCCCCACAGGGGATTAAACCTGAAAGTCACCTGGGGGCAAAGTCACCTGCTCAGCCTACAGAACTCTCTTTTTCTCTCTCTCTCTCTGGCCTACATTCACAATTGTGTTTTTGTACCCCTCAAAGTAATTTTTTTTTTGCTTTTTGGGTCACACTCGGCAATGCACAGGGGTTACTCTTGGCTTATGCAGTCAGGAATTACCCCTGGCAGTGTTCGGGGGACCATACGGGATGCTGGGGATCAGACCCAGGTTGGCTGCATGCAATGCAGACACCCTATCTGCTGTGCTATTGCTCCAGCCCCAACTCAAAGTAATTTTTAATTAATATTACTTTCAGAACTTCCTAGTGTTGGACTGGAGAGATGACTTAATGGGCTGAGCACATACTTTGCATGAGAGACGCAGGTTCAGTTTCTAGTATCACATAGTCTCCTGGACATTGAGTTGGAACCCATGAGCACAGAGCTGTGAGGCTCACTGGAGGCCGCAACACCAAACTTTCTTGGTCTGATTTCACAGTCTCGCAACTTAACTCGGATCCTGATCAAAGTTCTCTAGACAGTGTCTTTTTGGGTGCTCTGCTTTCATTTTCTTTTCCTTTCCTTAAAACCAAAATTGTGGTTTCTTTTTTTTTTTTTTTGCTTCATTCTGCTTTGGGGACACACCCAGCAGTGCTCAGGGCTTATTCCTGGCTCTGTGCTCAGTGATCACTCCTGGTGGGCTTGGGGGATCATTTATGGTGCTGGGGATTAAACTGGGCTGACTTTGCAAGGCAAGTACCCTACCTGCTGTACTATTGCTCTGGCCCGCCTATAGTACTGTAGATTTTAATATTATATAAGAAAGAGGGTTCATTTATCTATTCTTTTTTTTGCTTTTGTTGGGTCACACCCAGCGATGCACAGGGGTTACTCTTAGCTCTGCACTCAGGAGTTACTCCTGGCGGTACTCAGGAGATCATATGGGATGCTGGGAATCGAACCCGGGTCGGCCGCGTGCAAGGCAAACGCCCTACCCGCTGTGCTATCGCTCCAGCCCCTCATTTATCTATTTTTTAATACAAAAGTTTATTGAAGAGTAGAAGGGAAAGAAACTCCCAAGTCAGGGAGAAACTTAGGACTATGGTAATGTTGCCTGTGGCTCAGTGGAGTGGGGAGCAAGGAAGGGAGGGAGCACTCGAGAAAAGAATGCTTCGGGGCTGGAGCGACAGCACAGCGGGTAGGGCGTTTGCCTTGCACGCGGCCGACCCGGGATCGATTCCCAGCATCCCATATGGTCCCCCGAGCACCGCCAGGAGTAATTCCTGAGTGCACGAACCAGGAGTAACCCCTGAGCATCACCTAAAAGCAAAGCAAACAAACAAAAAACCCAACTCATTGGCTATAAACGTAAATCTTGGAGCCAGAACAATAGTATAGTGAATAGGTCACTTGCCTTGTGGATTCAATTCCCAGGCAACCCCCATGGTCCCCAAGTGACCCCTAAGCACAGAGCCAGGAGTAAGCCCTGAGCATAACCAAGTGTGGCATATATATATATATATATATACATATATATATATAAAATTCCATCTTTCCCCTCAGATCTCCATTAGTTATATTTATTTCGCTAAGTATGAGTTGCTTTGAGTTCATTTTTCTCCAGCAAGTAGGGAACCCCAAGACAGGGGCCTTGTGCATTTTCATACCCTCATGTCTCGACATAGCTCAGCTCAGACTAGCTGATTGCCGAAATTTTCAGAGTGAGTAGCTCCTTAACTAAAGGCTATCGTATTTGTAGAATGGGTGGACTAATTCAGACTTGATGCTGCAGACAAAAATTTGGCAAGAGCTCAGAAAAAATGTTGATTAAGAAGCATAAGATAAAGAGGTAGAAATAGCCTTACCTGGTCCTCTACATTCAAAAATGAGAAAACTGAAGTAGACTGGTAATATAAACAAGTTTTTGACTCTCAGACAAGTGTGAACTCTGAATGCCACATCTGTCAGTCAGGAAGACAGATGCCGGGTGACTCAGGCTGGAGAGATTCCAAATGAAGTTAGAGACATAAAATGACGGCTGGAAAGATAGTACTGCGGGTGGGGTGCTTTGCATGTGGGGAGACTCTGAGTTCAATTCCTGAAACCACATGGTCCCCCAGCACCACTGGGGAGGCCCCCCAAAAGAAGACAAAACAAACAAAAAATTGCCCCCAAAGAGTCTGTAACTTATTGATAAAAAATAATAGAGGTTCATTTATAGCATTTGCAGATCTTTGGAGGAAACTCAGGATTCATTTCTGCTTTTAAACTATGTCTCGGGCTGGAGAAAGAGTACAGGAGGGAAGATAACATGCTTTGCATGTGGCCACAATGGCTGCAACCCTGGTTCAAGTCTCCAGCATCTCATTTGGTCTGAACACTCCTGAGCACAGAGCTAGGAGTAGCCCCTGAGCACTGCTGAGTGTGGCCGCCAAACCATAATTAATTAACCTCTGTTTCTCCTTTGACCTCCAGAGCATCTTATCAAGTGTATTTATCTCCTTAGTCACCATGGCACTTCTCTTTCAGGCAGAGGGCTGCAAGCTGTACAAGGACCTGAAGAACTTCCTTAATGCAGTGAAAGGTGGGTCTGTAGTACAGGAGAATGCAGAGGAAATTCATGTAGGTACTAAGAGTCTGATTAATGCGGAGAAAATGTCCATACTCAGACTTTATATCGCTCACCCACCCCTAGGCTTGTGGACTAAGCAGCACTGTAACACCATCCTCCCGTTGTTCATTGATTTGCTCGAGCGGGCCCAGTAACGTTTCCATTGTGAGACTCGTTACTGTGTTTGGCATATCGAATACGTCACGGGTAGCTTGCCAGGCTTTGCCGTGCGGGCAAGATACTCTCGGTATCTTGTTGGGCTCTCTGAGAGGGGCGGAGGAATCGAACCCGGGTCAGCTGTGTGCAAAGCAAATGCCCTACCCGCTATGCTATCGCTCTGGCTCCAGAAAGAGGGGCAGGAATGACGGCCCCTAAGAAAGAGTAGCTTTCCCCATTCCAGCCCAATGTCGCTTCCCTCACTGATAACTCATGCCTTCTGAGAGGGTCGTGATGAATTCATGACGGGCAGATTTGTCTGTTCCCCTTGAGGTCTTACTGGACTAATTTTTGGAGATTTTTCTAGTACCACTGAGTTCTCTTCTTTCAGTGATGCACGAAAGTTCTAAGAGAGTATCAGAAACTCTGCAGGAGATCTACAGCAGCGAGTGGGAAGGTCATGAGGAACTCAAGACCATTGTAGGGGTAAGAATTTTCTGGACAACACGTGACTGTCTTCAGCCTTTTCTCTGTCCAAGCAAATAGGAAAACAAAGGCACCCGTTTCTGCTGTTTATTTATTTGCCTCAGTCCTGAGTGGTAGGAAGATGATGGATGGAAGAAGGTGAAAACGGTCTTTCCAGTTTCTGAATTCCTTTGGTTTTGAGCCTCTTTTCTTCATTAAGATCCCAAGAAAGTTTTGCCTGCACAAAACCTTGTTGGTGGTTTTAAGAACTGGCTCCCTGGAGTAATTTCCGCCCCAGACCTCCCTGCCCTTCACCCTCGAGATTCTAAGACTGACCTGTTCTTCCACTGTTCCTATTCCCGGAATGTGTCCTGACTCCTGGGGGCAGTTCCTTGGGGGAAGGGATGTTTTTGCATTCATCTCTCTCCCAGGCTCCTACATGCTGTTCTGAACACAGTGCTCCACTGCTAAAGTCTTGTAGTGGAGAATTTGCGTATTTCCGGGATATACAGTGTCTAAAAGGGAGCACCCAGCACACACTTCCGGCCTCTCTCCCATAGAACACTGACCTCCTGTGGGAAGACTATGAAGAGAAACTGGCTGACCAGGCTCTGAGAACCATGGAAAACTATGTTGCCCAGTTCACTGAGATTAAGGTACTTGATTTACAAATCAGTAGTGGTTCACAGTGCGAGAACAAGTGGGTGAAACGTAATAAGTAGAATGAGACCCTGTGGTAAAGAGTGAAGTAATGTAGGTTAAGAAAAGGATTGGGGGGCTACAGCAGTAGTGCAGCAGGGAGGGCCGTTGCCTTGCGCCCCATGTTGTCCCTCTGAGCACCACCAGGAGTGATCCCTGACCACAGATCAAGGGATAAACCCTGAACACAGTGAGCTGTGACCCCCAAACCAGCAACAACAACAAAAAAAGGATTAAGGGAATGGAGAGATAGCTCACAGGACTGAAGTCCATGCTTTGTTATGGGGGAGTCCTGGGCTTGATCCCCAATACCATATGGTCCCCTAGTCACTACCAAGGGAGACCCCCTGCGGTGAGCTGTGAAGAGCTCCCCCATAGCTCCATACCACTCATGGAACCAGAAGGCATGGTCCAAAATCACAACCAGGGAGAGAGTGAAGGTAATAAGACCAAAGAGATGGCTCAAAGGACTGGCGGTTCTTGGTTAATTTATTTACAGACTAAGAGGTAGTACAGGGATTAATTGATGCACTTGGCTTGCATGTAGCTGACCCCAGTTCAATCCCTGGTCCTGCATTTGGTCCCCTGAACACCTCCAGGAGTGATTCCTGAGCCCAGAGCCAGAAGTAAGCCCTGAGCACTAAAGGGTTTGGGCCAACAACAGAAGAAGTTGGGTTGGGTAAATAAACATGAAGATTCTTTCAAATTCTGTGATTAAGAGAAAGAGACAGAGGCCAATTTCAGACGGGTATAACTTGTAGGTTGCATGAGGTTTCTCTCAGTGCTTGTAATTGTTTAGTATTTTATGGTTCTTTCGGGTTTCAAAACACTTCCCAGTCAGCATTTGATCTTACTTGGTTGTTGTTGTTTTCATGGTGCTAGGGAGTGAACCCGGAATCTCACACATGCAAGGCATGTGCTGCTTCATAAAAATGATAGATGAGACCACGGAGGCCCTAAAGGAGATGGGCCTTGACTTAAGGAGTAAATTCCAGAACTCCCTCTCTCTTTCTCTTTCTGAGAGTTGTAAGCGAGGGGGACTTGGGAGAGACACTGGGGCATTGGTGGAGGGAAGTGGACACTGGTGGAGGGTGTGGTGCCACAGTGTTTCATGCATGAAACCCTGCTATTAACAGTTTTGTCAACCACACAGTACTTAAAATAAAATTTAAGAAGGAAGAAAGCAAGTAAAGGAAGCAGGCACCCTGATAGGATAGAGGAACAGCACTTATTTTAGAAAAAGGAAAACATGTAACCCTGCAGAGAGTGGCGTAGCCAAGGGAGGAATACCCAACCCCCAAACTCTTGACTTTGGTTTTGAATTTAAGTTTCTTAGGATTTTTAAACACCACTTCGGCTAGATGCGGCCAGTTGATAGTGGATTCATAGAAAATACTAAGACTCAAATTCTGTATATTCTGCAGGATTTCACTTTTTTTTTTTTTGGACGGGGGGGGGAAAGGGGGAGGCATACAGAAGATTCTGATGGCTCGGGGCCTATTTCCAGCTGGCTCTGGGGAACATGACATGCCAGGGATTGAACTGAGCTTCCGGCATGCACATCCTGCATGCTAGCCCTTTCAGCCATCTCTGCATCCCCCAGATCAGGAACTCTCACCGCCTGTGGAGAATTTTGATTCTTTTTAGATAGTGAGGGAGATCATTCGGGCACAAAACCCTTCCAGAATGTGACAATTGCTAAAAAGTCCCAGGAACAGTGCTTTCTGTTGATATGTTTCCCGGCATCCTTCCTGTCCACTGAAAAATGAGTATCACGACCCTCTCTCTGACCTGGGTTAGGAGAGAATCGCCAAGCGGGGTCGGAAACTCGTGGACTACGACTGTGCCCGGCACCACTTGGAGGCTGTGCAGAACGCCAAGAAGAAGGATGAGGCCAAGGTGGCCAAGGTAAAAAAAAAAAAAGAAGAAGTAAAAACCTGATGAAACCTTTCTACCCTCCCTTTCCCACATGGTGGCGGGCGGGTCGCTCAGGCTGGGCTTGGGAAATGGTAACTTCAGCCTCCAGGGTCCGGAAGGAAATCCCGTTTCCTGACCCGAATGCACTAAGGATGGTCAGAGACTCCAGGGGGGAGAGGCCATGCAGCAAGGGAGGCTGCTGTGTGGCTCCGAGCGAACTGAGTGGCCTGGGGGACGGCTCCATGAACTAAGCATGTGCTTTACACAGAGGTGATCTGAGCTAGACCCCAGCCCCCCACAGTGCCACGAGCACACCCAGGAGTGATGCCTGAGCACCCCTGTATGTGACTCAGACAAATAAGCAAAAAAAAAACCCAAAAAACTAAAAACAAAAAAAAAAACACCCAGAGAAAAAGAAAATGAAGAAAAACCTAGTAAGCCTAGTTCCTGAAACAGGCAGAGGACAGAGGAGCGTCTAGCCTTGGGCTCAGAGTGAAGGGGATTGTCCTGTCTCTCCTATCTAGGCAGAGGAAGAGTTCAACAAAGCCCAGACTGTGTTTGAAGATTTGAACCAGGAACTACTGGAGGAACTGCCTGTTTTTTATCATAGGTAACGAGTGAGATCCCTAAAAGGCGGGGCCAGGAGCCCCTCAGAGAGGCCATTTCCTGGGGAGTGCCCTGGGAGGGGTGGGGTGTAGCCTCGCCCTGCCCCTGACTTGCTGTGTGGTATTGGGCAACCTACTTCATTTCTCCAGACCTCGGTTTCCTCATCTGAAAGGAGAGATCACCATCCTTGCCCTGCCAGCTTTTCGGGTTTAAAGACCAGATGATTCTAGGATAGGAGAGTGAAAGACTGTCATCAAGCTTATTAGGAGTATCAGATTCCATGCTTAAGTGCATAGGGCATATTGTTTTAAACAATCTTGCCTTGTGAATATCCATATTTACATAAAGATAAACCATGGATAATGAAGATACTATTAATGAAGTTTGTTTTTTTTTTGTTTTGCTTCTGGGTCACGCCTGGCGATGCTCAGGGGTTACTCCTGGCTCTGCACTCAGGAATTACTCCTGGTGGCGCTCAGGGGACCATATGGGATGCTGGGAATCGAACCCAGGTCGGCCACGTGCAAGGCAAATGCCCTACCCACTGTACTATCTCTCCAGCCCCTAATGAAGATATTTTTGTCCAGAGAATTAAGTAAAAGTATTTTGTTTCTTTACTTAACGTTGGGTTTTGGGACACGCCCAAATGTACTCCAGGCTTGCTCCTGGCTCTGAACTCAGGGATCACTCCCGGTGGGCTCAGGGGACCATATAGGCTGCTGAGGATCAAACCCAGGTCAACCGCGTGTAAGGCAGACACTTCACCCACTCTTCTGTCTCCAGCCTCAGTTAAAGTATTTTAAGTTTTAATTTTTACATTAAAAAATGAATCTGAGCAGAGATTCTACTTGTAACAGGTTTCTTTTTGTTACATTTTTTTTTGCTGCCCTGGCTGGATCCCTAGCACAGTGGGTAGGGAGTTTGCCTTGCACGTGGTAGAACCCGGGTTCGGTTCCTCCGTCCCTCTCAGAGAGCCCGGCAAGCTACCTAGAGTATCCCGCCCGCATGGCAGAGCCTGGCAAGCTCCTCATGGCATATTCAAAATGCCAAAAACAGTAACAACAAGTCTCACGATGGAGACGTTACTGGTGCCCACTCGAGCAAATCGATGAACAACGGGAGGACAGTGCTACAGTGCTACCATTTTTACGGAGGTGCCTGGATTTACAGTACTTCTCCTTATACTATTCACGCATACCTCATTCTCTCACCACGCCTTCACTGCTCCTCCTGGGTTCCAAGGCCCCTCCCAGCTCCCGCCCCCGCCACCATGTAAGCTCATTTCTATAGACAAAATCTCCAGTTCTGATGACTTTGGCCATTTGTTTTGTTCCCTTACTATGTTTCTTTATATCCCACACATGAGAGAGAGATTTATTTATTGCGGAGGTGGTGACATTTAGATGATTAAAGTGGAACTCCTGGGGCTGGAGCAATAGCACTGGGTAGGGCGTTTGCCTTGCACGCGGCCGGCCTGGGTTCCATTCCCAGCATCCCATATGGTCCCCCGAGCACCGCCAGGGGTAATTCCTGAGTGCAGAGCCAGGAGAAACCCCTGTGCATTGCCAGGTGTGACCCTAAAAAGCAAAAAAAAAAAGTGGACCTCCTGAAATTCCACAAATTCTGCTTTGTTCCTTAATGACTTACCCTGTTTAATGGCCGTGTATATCCTAAAATATTATGTGACTCTTAATTTAGATAGAATTCAAATGCAATAGTTTCCATAAATGTACACTTCTCCAGTTCACTTATTGAAGAATTCCACTAATATGTACACAGCCTCATAGGAGTGCAAGTTTTGCATGAGAAAGAATACTTATTATAATAATTGTAAATGTAAAACCTCTTATTTATATAGCACTTCAGAACACTTCACCTCAGTCTCTGGACCCGCATCATATAACTTCAAGAACTGACACATCTCAGCTTGGGTGCTCGAGAGTGTCTGCTTTGACTTCTAAGAATCAAGCATGCTTCTGACCAGCTCTGATTTATTTGGGTCCCAGGAAATCCTTTGTCTGGGATTGGAGTTTTTTCTCTGGGGCCTTGGTGGTAGCTGGCTTTAGCTCAGTTCCTACCTTGTATTTCCAGTGTAGACCTCTTCCACATTCCTTACTGTGGGCTTCGTGTTTTCTCTCCCGATAGTCGTATTGGCTGTTATGTGGCTGTCTTCCAAAACATTTCCAATCTGAGGGATATCTTCTACAGGGAGATGAGCAAGGTAAGTAGCATGCAGTCAATTTAGAAATGCGGGTGGGTTTAATTTGGCACCACAGTGTTTTCTCGGCACTTAACTGTGCCAAACTGTGTGTGAGCACATCTAAGTGATTTCAGAGGGCCCTGTCCCAGGGAAGAGTGTCCAAGTTAAACTACAGACGAATTAAGGAAGTCAGGTCTGTAGAAGGAACAACTCAGACAGGGAACTGGGTTGTGAAAGCCTTGTCTTTTATTGCTGAGGCGGGAGAGAGCGGTGTTTGAGCAATTAGGGCACTTAAGGTAGTAGTTAAGGAGATGTTTCCTTTCTCGGGTAGTTGGCCTTGAACAGCATCTATCGTATTCAGTGATACACAGCTGTAGAACATGGTGTACTGGTGTCTTTTCTAGTCCTAAGAGTTTAAGATATTCTATTGTAATATTAGTTATGATACCATACATACTCTTCTGTAGTTCTTGGGCAAAATTATGGTTTCGCTACATAATATATATATATATATATATATATATATTTATTGAAACATTGTGAGCTACAGTTACAAAGCTTTGATGTTTAAATTTCAGTCACGCAATGATTGAACACCCAACCCTCCACCAGTACTCATTTTCCACCACTAATTTCCCCAGTATCCCCCCCATCCTACCCCTCCCCCTGCCTCTATGGCAGACAATTTCCCCCTTACTCCCTTTTGTATTACTTGTTATGAATAGCAGAAGATGTCGCACAGCCACGAGAGCAGCTGCACACTCCTGCAATTCTAAAATTTTAGATAATTAGGGTCTGGAGAAATCTCTGCAGTGAGCTGCTTGGTTCCGAGATTCTTTTGTGTGTCTCTGGATCATGGCCCGTTAAGGAGCTGAAGTAGCAGCCAGAGGCAAGTTCATGGGTGTGACCTCCAGGGCCCCACAGGGACGAGGAGATGAGAAGGACCGGCTCATCTTCTACCCAGTGAGGCCTGGAGTTTGCCATCACTGAACCCATGTACCTGCTCTTCTCATTGGGTTCTGAAAATTGTCGGCCACCAGGATTCTTAGGGGACAGGTGGAGGGACGACGCCTGCACCTGGTACAATCAGCTTGTCTTAAAGTCCGGAGGCATCTTTGCAGCGAGCTGCTCGGTTTGGAGATTCTTTTATGTCTCTTCTCGACATAATATTGCACTGAGTCTTCATTCACTGAATACCTGATTGGAGCTGTCAGTGATGGACCCTTGAGAGCTGGTGACAGAACTTAATACAGGCAGGGGAAAGAGTGATTGAATAGGACCCTGGACACTTGTAGTGAAGAAATGAGGAAGAATTTTATTGTTCAGAGTTGAAAGGGTGGGATATTTTATTGGGGGGAGCTAGATGGAGGAGGGTCCCCAGTTCCTGTGTGGCTAGCCCACCCTTCTTTCTTGCTGACCCTAGCTGAACCACACTCTCTACGAGGTGATGAGCAAACTGGAGAAGCAACATTCCAACAAAGTCTTTGTGGTGAAGGGACTGTCAAGGTGAGCGGTTCTGTGACTTTTTTCTGCTTTTTGTTGTCCTCTGTATGAAATATTCCCCACCAAAATCAAGCCTTTGTATTTATGTTGGTGATACTCTTTGCCTCTAATACTCTGCACCTGTAGAGATGAATGAATCATGTAATGAATCATTTTAGCCCTGATTAAATGTATAAAAAATATAACAAACAGCAGTGTACCTGCCACCAAATTTAATAAATCAGCTAATACATATATATTTGGGGCAGGGGGGAGAAACACCTAGCGGTACTCAGAGTTTATTGCTGGCTCTACACGCTCGTGTCTCTACGCTAAAGGATTACTCCTGGTAGGGCTCTAGGGACCATGTGTGGTCACAGAGGTCACACCTGGGTCAGCGGTGTGCAAGGCAAGCACCTAGAGCCCGGGCTGTTTCTCCAGCCCACCAACTGTTATATAAAATTGAAGCTTTTGGGCTAGGTTCAATCTTGGCGTGTGGTCTCCGAGCCCCACCAGGAGTAAATCCTGAGTGCAGAGTCAGGAGTAACCCCTGAGCACCACCAGGTGTGACCCCAAAACAAGAACAAAATTGAAGTGTCTAGTACCCTATTCCACTTAGTTTTCCCTTCCTCCTGCCACCAAAGTTAATCACTATCTCCAGTGTTTATTCTTGCCATCGTGTCTTTTTTTTTTTCTTTTTGGATCACACCCAGCAACGCTCAGGGGTTACTCCTGGCTCTGCACTCAGGAATTACTCCTGGCGGTGCTTGGGGGACCATATGGGATGCTGGGAATCGAACCCGGGTCGGCCGCGTGCAAGGCACACGCCCTACTCGTTGTGCTGTCTCTCCAGCCCAGCCATTGTGTCTTTACTTTCATAATACATGTACATGCATACATTGGATTATATTGTTGTATTCCTCTGCAACTTTTGTTCTCTTAGCATTATATGTGATATTTATCCTTGTTACATATCACTGGTCTTATCTTTCCTTTTTATAAAATTATTTTAGGGGCCCACACCAGGCTGTGCTCAGGGATCACTCCTGGTTCTGTGCTCAGGGGATTATACGTGGTGCAGGCCATGGAACCAGGGTTGATTGTGTGCAAGTCAAAAGCCTTAAACCTTGGAGCTGGATAGATAGGGCAGTGAGTAGGGCACTTGCTTTGCATGAGGCTGACCCGGGTTCAATCCCGGACATTCCATATGGTCCCTCCGAGCACTGCTGGGAGTAAGCCTGAGCATCACCGGCTGTGGCCACAAACAAACAAACAAACAAACAAACAAAAGTTGGGGCCATGAAATGAACTCAGTGTCATCATGCTGGCCCACGAACCCAATATTTTATATTTTATTTTTATATTTTATATTTTATTCACTTCGCTACACAACAGGCATCACTGCAGTGATACAGACTCTGATATCACTCCAAGTCTCTTTGCTTTGTCTCACGGTTGCATTATCGAATGCATTATTGCTGACGGGGTGCATGTCGAGGTAGCTGCCAGTTCCAACTCCTGTCACCGTGTTTGCTTTGCCCCTTCCAGCAACAGCAGGCGATCCTTAGTCATCTCTCCTCCGGTTCGAACCTCTTCAGCATCCAGCTCTCTGACCTCCCCGACCAGTGTCTCTTCACTGTGCCTGAGGAGCGAGATGGGGTCTGTCTCAGCAAGTGAGGACGAGGTCATGTCTGAAACAGCCCTGGAGGAAGACAACTCTGAGACCAAAGCAGAAATGGAGGAGGAAGGGTCTACCAGCTGCTCCTCCCCCTCCCCCTCATCCTCCTCATCCTCTGCCTCCGCAGAATCCTCCTCCTCTGCCTCCGAAAAGTCTCAGCTCCTCTGCAGTGGCCAGACCCAGGCCCAGCCCTCTCCCCCGAGTAAGGGCAGGGAGATCCAGGAGGAGGTTTTCTCTGGTTCCCCAGATCCATCACCAGACAAGGCTCTGATCCCCACAGAGCAGCCTTCGTCTGGGCCTGAATTAGTTCTCCGAAGCCGCACCTCAAGCGAAGGATCGGCACAGCAGAAGAAGAAATCCTCTGTCCAGAGGTCCTCAGAGCCCCCTACTCGGCCACCTCCACCCAAAGCTACTCCCAGCCCCAGGTCCTCCTCTGGAAACGAACCCTCCAGCCCTCCAGCAGAGGAAGAGGATTCACCCAGCAGCCCGAGGGTGCTGTTGGGGACTGGGACCCTCAGTCCCAAGACCTCCTCAGAGGCCCTTCCTGATGCAGAGTCACCAGAGAAGCCAGTGGAAACACCTGAGGTCAGCGAAGAGAAGGATGCTAACCATCTGGAACCAGAACTTTCTGCTTCCCCTACCTCGGTGAATTCTCAGGTGAGGATGGGTTTGTTGGCCTGACTCCCTCACTGTGTGTCCTCATTACACAGTCAGGTTGTTCCACAGTTGGTCAGATATTCTGTCATTTTATTAATCTTAAAATATTCTTGGGCATCTTTTTTTTTTGGTTCTGGAATTCGCATCTTCATAACCCTGAATTTAGTATCTACTCTATGCTAATCGGCCTCTCCATAGGGCTTCTCTCTAATAATATTACAAGTGAATTCTTTCTTTCTTTTCCTCCAGTCCTAGGGATTCTAGATATAGAGAAGCTTCATCCCTTAATCATGATCCCTAACACCACAAAAATGACTCCAAGGGAGGCCCATGGTCAGTCCCCGGTGCTTCAACTCTCTCTCCTCCAAAGGAAGCTACAATCAACATTCTGAGTTGTACCTTTTTATGGGGATCAGGGAGCAAGGTCTCACAGTTTGTCATATTGATGAGCATGGTAAAAAGACCCCATGAGACACGTCATCAGCAAATTTCCAGGGTGTTCCCCAAACTTTGCATCACCTCCCCCCAAAATGAAAGAATGTAAACAGGGGTCATAGAGATAAGACAGCAGATAGAGTGCTTGCCTTGCATGTGGCCAACCCAGGTTCAATACCTGGCACCAGGTATGCCAGTCAGTTTTGTGGGTGGTAGATATTGCCATGAACAAAGTATAAAAATCACCTCCTTGCATCACACATTCTAATGGGAGTAGGGAGAACAGAAAAGAGAAAAATGAAATGACAATTTAGTGGTGACGAGCTTTCTCTTTTGAGGTACAGGAAGACACGGAGGTATGAGTCAGCATTTCCATTTTTTGGTATATTTGGGGGCCACACCCGGTGGTGTTCAGCGGCTGCTCTCTGAAAAGCCCAGGAAGCTATGCCGTACCCGGGTAAACCCAAGAAATTTGCACAAAAGGGTGCACTCAGCCCAATACACCATTTCTCGGGCCTTGAATAGAAATGGTAGGGTGACAAGATGTGATGCCAGGGATCGAGCCTGAGGTCAGTTGCTCACAAGCTGATGTGTTACTCTCTGTGCTGTCTCTCCAGCCCAAGCCCGACTTCTTTTTCTACCACCCTGATTCTGTGGATTATTAACTTTATTTTAGATAGTGATTTTAAAAATTTACTTGAGGGGTTGTGATTTACAGTACTGTTACCTACAGGATTTTATGTAATGTCCTCCGCCAGAGTGTCCGCTTCGTTTGTCTCTGTGTCTGTCAACCTGCTGTCCCTGTCATCTTTTTGTGCTGTGCTACAGGTGAGACAGTGCTTCCATCTTGTCTTTTCATAATGATATGTGTCTTTCCTTATGTGTGATTTCTGTTCTTTACACTCTCAGCACTCTGATGGTTTCAAAAAAAGGTGATTTTGTAGGTTAACTTTTCCTTGTTGTTTTTTTTTTTGTTAAATGTTTTTTTCCTTTTTGGGTCACACCCAGCAATGCTCAGGGGTTACTCCTGGCTTTGCACTCAGGAATTACTCCTGGCAGTGTTCAGGGGACCATATGGGATGCCGGGGAGCAGATCCAGGTCAGCCATGTGCAAGGCAAATGCCCTACCTGCTGTGCTATCGCTCCCGCCCCAACTTTTCCTTATTTTAAATGGTGTTGCTCTTTCAGCTTTTAGTATTCTGTGTAGAAAAGGAGGTCTAGATATTTTCTGACCCAAAATCTATGTGGTAGACAAAGTATGTTGTTGCTGGAATGCTTGATATTATCCACAGATTTCTAATGTTCTAGTATCTTTTAGCTTTTTATAATTTATAATACCTATTTGCACTCATTTGATGTTTTCTGTTGATATTTTGGCAAGCTCCCTGTGGTGTATTTGATATGCCCAAAACAGTAACAACAAGTCTCACAATGGACACGTTACTGGTGCAAATCGATTAACAATGGGAGGACAGTACTACAGTGCTACTGGTTAGAGGGTGTGAATCACACCTGGTGGTGCTCAGTACCTGTTCCTGGCTCTTGGCTCAGGAGTCACCCCGGGTGGTACTCAGGGATTATATGTGGTGCCAAGGGTAGAACTGGGGCCGGCCATATGCAGAACTGCAGTTTTTAGAGAGTGTCCAAAGAAGGCATCACTTGGGCAGTGATGGACGCCAGGACATGAGTCTGTGAATACCTGGGAATATGAGCTACCTAGTGCCCTCCAGTCATACTGCACTGCCTGTACCTAACTGAAGTTGCCCCCTGCCTTAGGAGTCTGTCGCCCACTGAGGAGCCAGACCAAAGCCTGCAGGGGAGCAAGCAAGGAGTGAAGGAAACAGACCTTCTCCCCAGTATCCACTGTGATCCTCAGCTTTTTCAGAGTCTGACAAGGAAGATAAGAACCAGGAAAACAAGCTGTCTTAACTGACTTCCCAGAGTATTAAAATCAAAGCCACCAGCATCTTTTTTTTAATCGAATCACCATAAGATATATAGTTATAAAGTTGTTCATCATTGCGTTTTATCATACAGTGTTCCAACGCCCATTCCGTTCCCTTCACTAGTTTACCAGTGTACCCATCTGTCACCAATGTCCCTGGTTTTTCTTCCCCTGTGCCTCTATGGCAGATAGTTTTCTTCTTTTTTCCCTTTTTCTTTTTTCCTTTCAGGCACTGTGGTTTACAGTGCTGTTTCTGAAAGGATATCATGCATATTTCAGCACCCACTTCTTTTTTTTTTTTGTCATAGTTTTATTTTTAATTTATTTTTTATTATTTTTAAAAATTTTTATTAGTGAAACACCATGAGGTACAGTTGTAGACTCACAAATTTTTGTGCTTGGGTTTCAGTTATACAATGATCGAGTACCCATCCCTCCACCAGTGCCCATTCTCCATCCCCACTGATCCCAGTATCTCCCCCCCCCCCCCATCCCCTCCATCCTACCCTGCCTCTGTGGCAGGGCAGTCCCTTTTGTTCTCTCTCTCCTTCTGGGGCAGCACCCAGTTCTTGTTCTGAGTTCATTTCCGACTATCACTGCTATAGTGGTCTATATAGTGCTCTTTCCTAACTTCACTTCCCCTGGATCTGGTTTCTATTGTCTTTGGGTATTATTCTCATACTGTTTTTTTTTTCAATATCCTGCAAATGAGTGCAGTCATTCTATGTCTGTCACTCTCTCACTCGTTTTACTCAATTTCATGACTTAACTTTTTCTAATGACTGCGTAGTATTCCAGTGTGTAGATGTACCAATGTTTATCTACTCATCTACTCTCGGCACTTGGGATTCTGGCCATTGTGAATAGTGCGGCAGTGAATATAGAGGGCAGATGTCTTCTCTGCTATGCTTTTGGGCCCTTGGGATATATTCCTAGAAGTGGAATTGCTGGATCATATGGAAGCCCAATTCCTAGTTTCTTGAGGAATGTCCATATTGTTTTCCCAAAAAGACCGGAGCACTCGACATTCCTACCTTCCTCCACCATCCCCCACCCCCATCTGCACCAGCACTTGTTGTTATGTTATTATTCTGATAATTAGTGATAAAGAACATTTTTTTTCCTGCTTGGGTCACACTTGGTGATGCACAGGGGTTACTCCTGGCTCTGCGCTCGGGAATTACCCCTGGTGGTACTCAGGGGACCATATGGGATGCTGGGAATCGAACCTGGGTCGGCCGGGTGCAAGGCAAATGCCCTGCCTGCTGTGCTATTGCTCCAGCCCCAAGAACATTCTTTTTTTTTTTTTTTGCCAGGTGTTATTTTTATTGCTTTTTTTTTTTTTACAGTTGTAGATTTACAATTTTTTGTGCTTACCAAGAACATTCTTGATAAGCCTTTTTGACCATCTGGATTTCCTCTTTGAGGAAGATTCTGCTCTTCTATTCTCCCCGTGCCACCAAATCCTTATGTTCTCAGTCTTTTTTTTTTCTTTTTGGGTCACACCCGGTGATGCACAGGGGTTACTCCTGGCTCTGCACTTAGGAGTTACTCCTGGCGGTGCTCAGGGGACCATATGGGATGCTGGGGATTGAACCCGGGTCGGGCCGCGTGCAAGGCAGACGCCCTACCCTCTGTGCTATCTCTCCAACCCTCTCAGTCTTTTTTTTAAAAAATTATTTTAAATTTTATTTCCATAAAGTTGTTCACAATAATTGGTTACATTCAATATTTCAACACCAATCCCACCACCATTACACTTTCCCACCAACATTATTCTGACATTTCCCACTACCACTCAAGCCTGCCCCACAGGCAGATGCTAGATAATTTATTCTGTATTACTTGTTATGAATAGTATAAGATATCCGTAAGGGTCTGTCTCACAGGGATTCAACAAGTGAGCACTGTGGGCACTGTCCTCCCGTTGCTCATCGATTTGCTCGAGCGGGCCCAGTAATGTCTCCATTGTGAGACTTCTGAGACTTCTGTTACTGTGTTTGGCATATTGAATACAACACGGGTAGCTTGCCAGGCTTTGCCATGTGGGCAAGATACTCTTGGTAGCTTGCCGGGCTCTCCGAGAGCAGCGGAGGAATCGAACCTGGCTCGGCCAGGCCGGCTGCATGCGAGGCAAACACCCTACCGCTGTGCTATGATGGCCGAGCGGTCTAAGGCACTGCATTCAGGGATTCAACAAAAGAAGCAAAAAAAAAGAAAAAGTAGTATGAGATAGTGCGCAGCTGCTTTTGCGGCCGCACACTCCTGGAATTGTAAAAATTTAAATAACGTGGTTCGCAGCCATCCCTGCAGTGGGCTGCTCAGTTCCGAGATTTGTATGTAAGTCTCTGAATCCTGGCCGTTAGTGTGCTTAAATGGCACCCCAATGCAGTTCGTAGGCATGACTGCCAGAGCCCCAGAAGGGCAGGGAGATGGGAAGGGATGGCCCAGTCCTGACCCTATGAGGCCTGGCATTTTCAGTCACTGGTCCCGTCTCTTGCATGGGGGATGCCCTCAGTCTTGATTCACATAAGACACTAAGAGTCGTGGTAGAGAGAGAAACACCATTTCTTGACAGGCTTCTAGCTGGAAGTAGCTGTGTCAGTTGAGAGAGCCATGCAGAGCATGTGGATATGTGCGTAAGACCAGGTCAAACATACAACCTTGAGTAGATGAGGTGGAGTCATTTCGACTGTTCTTCACTGAAAGGAGCTACTCCGTGAACTGAAAAGCCCAAGCCTAGTTTGATTTGACTTTGCAACATATTCCCTGGTTTTAGCAGCTATAGCAAGTTTGCATTCTTGCAAGAATCTTATTGCAGGGGAGCTTCTGGAGGGTTGAATGCTTTCTGACTAGTGTAAATAATAGGCTGTATTTGGCATCTACAAATGGGGTTTTAATTTTCTTTGTCGGTGGTTTTCGTTGTCGAGGATCGAACCCAGGCCTTCCGAAATCCAAGGCATGCACTGTGCCACTAAGCAGCTTCCTCGGCTAGGTGGTGTTTCGAGATGTGTGTTTCTCTCTTCACTGACTCTCGCATGTATCCACATACAGGCTCATGCCATTCAAGTCCCACAGTGTTGTAGCCCAAAGTCCTACTTTCTTACCCCAACTAGTCATTTCACCTTTTGAATCTGGGTTCCTAGATTCAAAAAGGATGGTGACAATAAAATCTTCTTGGTGACTTCAGGCTGTGGTGAAATATTGTATGCTTGCCTTTTGTATTAACGTTGACCCCTGCAAAGTGTAAAGCACTGAAGACCTGTCTAAGGCTGAAAGGCCGAGGAAGCTGAGCCACCTCTCACTGGCAGAACTCTTCTTTTGTAGAGCGAAGGTCCTCAGCCTCCTGACCCTGTGGTTCCAGAAGAAAGCAGCGTCGTAGCACCTGAACCTCAAGAAGTGGTAAGGACAAAAGGGTCTTAAACATTAGCACTGCTGTAGCATGTGAACTTAAAATACAACAAATAAAGAAGAAAAGTAGGTTACAGAGCAGTTATGAAGAAAAAAGAAGACAAGGTTAGGAGTCCTGATACACAGGAACAGAGACATGATAAAATTGGGCATCTGCTGGACAAAGATTTGCCAAAGACAGGACTCCTTATCGCAGGCTACTTGCTCTTCACTCTCTGAGTAGTGGAGAGAATCTTAGAGCAGAGTCAAGCAGGTGCGAACCAGAGGACTCAAGAGCATACTGGGACTTTGGTTTCTTTGTGCCTATTTCCAAACACATTTGGTCTTGATTCTTTTTTTTTTCTTTTCGGGTCACACCTGGTGATGCACAGGGGTTACTGCTGGCTCTGCACTCAGGAATTAACTGAGGTGCTCAGGGGACCATATGGGATGCTGGGAATCGAACCTGGGTCGGCTGCGTGCAAGGCAAACGCCCTACCCGCTGTGCTATCGCTCCAGCCCCTGGTCTTGATTTCTTGACCTCTCAACCCGACCCAGTCTGTTAAGTATTTATTTCATTATAGCTGAACTTATTTCAAAAGGGAGTTAAGAGACATAGGAAAAGATAAACATATACAATATAGCAAAACTAAATCGAAAGTCTGCAAGCCACATAAAATGAGGCCATGAATTAGGCAAGTGTAAAAATATATATATGCAAATATAAAAATGCGTTACAAGTAACATAAAATGAAGCGATGAATTAGGCGAAGTATAAAAATGCATTCAGGGGTTGGAGAGAGAGTACAGATGGCAGGCAGCACAAGCATATGACTGACCTGGGTTCAATTCCCAGCACCCTGTATTATGCCCCAATCCCACTGGGAGTGATCCCTGAACACCAAGCCAGGAATAAGACCTTATTCCTGAGAACTGCTATAGATGAAGCCCAAAAACTAAAAAAGAAAAAAAATCGATAATATAAGCTTATGTCTCGGGCTGGAAAGCGTGCAGGAGGCCAGTCGCTTTTCCTTGCATGTTGCTAAGCCAACTGCCACCTTGGTTCGAATCCCTGGCACCACACATGGTCCACTGAGCACTGCTTGAGATCACTCTTAAGCACAGAACCAGAAACACCCCTTGAGCAGCAGTGCTGGGTATGGCTCAACTTCCCCCTCCCCACCACCCCCTAAAAGAGAGAAGCTTCTCAAGGATGGGCACAAATCAGTTTAGGACTTTGTGATATCCAAGAGAAAGATCTGACTATTAGTTCATGTTGCCTATTCTTTTGTTTTTGAGTCACACCCAACAGTGCTCAGGGTTTACGCCTGTCTCTGCACTTGGATCATCCCTGGTGGGCTGGGGATGCTGGGGATCGAACCTGAGTTGGCCACACACAAAACAAGCTCCTTACCCACTGTACCATCCCCCTGGCCCCAGTGATGCCCATTCTTTGAGAGCAGATCCTGTTACCAAGATTAAAAAATTCTCCATCATCTTCTAAGGAGATAAGTGATATAGAAAATAAAATTTGCGGGGCTGGAGCTATATAGCACAGCGGGTAGGGCATTGGCCTTGCACGCAGCCAGCCTGGGTTCGATTCCCAGCATCCCATATGGTCCCTTGAGCACCGCCAGGAGTAATTCCTGAGTGCAGAGCCAGGAGTAACCCCTGTGCATTGCCGGGTGTGACCCAAAAAGAAAAAAAAACAAAGAAAAGAAAATTTGCCACGAGTCTTTACAATAATCTTATATTAGGGCTAGAGAGATAGTATGAGTGTAAAACATTTGCCTTGCACATGACTGACCTGTGTTTGATCCCCAGTACCACCTATGGTCCCCTGAGGACTGCCAGGAGTAAGCCCAGAGCATGGCTGGGGATGACCCTCACACAAACTAAAACACAGCAAAAGCTTTCTATTGCATGCAGTTGTTGTCTCCAAAACCAGTTACATTTCAACCCCTTTGAGGGGTAGTGGGAGGTCAGATGTAGTCTGGTGTCTACACTGGTGTCTGATGCAGTCACGTTTATTTTCCAGGCATCTGCAACTCAAAGTACTGAGCCCTGAAGAGCAACTGCTGTGGCCTCAGCATCCATACACCCCGTGAAGCTCCTCGGCCAGAGGGTGTATGGGTTAGAGCGCGGACCATCGTTCTTTTCTAGGTTCTCAACGCAGATGCTGCTGGTCACTGAAGAGCTAGCGTTACTGGAGACTGAGGAGCAGATGGGCGGGGGCGGGGAGAGGGAGGGGGAAGCAGGCTTGAGAGGAGAAACTGCTTGACTCAGGGAATTCAGTTTTCAGCATATCCATTAAAGTGGAGCTAAAATGATTATAAAGAAGCGTCAATAGACACTTGTCTAAGAGACACGTATCACGTGGACACAAGTGATACCAAACGTGTCTTTCGCTTGCCCTCATTTTATAAGATTTCAAGCCAAAAGAACAGGTCTTTGGAATGCTAAATAAAGCGTTGCTCTGGCTATGGATGGAGTCTTTGACACAGGTTTTTTTTTCCTAGCCTGGTTGCTGTTTCTGCCGCATGTTCAGGAAGCTTCGGTAACAACCCAGGCCTGTGGCCACCCCACTTCTGGCGATAACTGTTCAATGATGCAGGCTCTGCACCGTCCACACACTAAAGCCGCCTACTCCAGCTGTGGCTAATACCCTTGGGAAGGGGTTCAGTCTTAAAAACGTACCTCGGGCTTATAACCTTGTATCACTGTGTCACTGTCATCCCGTTGTTAATTAATTTACTCAAGCAGGCGCCAGTAATGTCTCTATTCCTCCACGCCCTGAGATTTTAGCAGCCTCTTCTTACTCGTCTTTTCCCAATGATTGGAGGCTCTTTCAGGGTCAGGGGAATGAGACACATTGTTGTTACTAGTTTTGGCATATCAAATACGCCACGGGGAGCTTGGCAGGCTCTGCCTGTGCAGGTGAGATACTCTCAGTAGCTTGTTGGGCTCTCTGAGAGGCATATATTTATATAATTCTCTCTATGATTTGTTGCCTACTGTCTGAACCCCACCAAACATGGTGTAGCAATTATGGAAAATGGGTAGAAAGTGTTCTATAAAGTGGCGTGGAGTGTGGCAGTGGCTGGGTAGTGGAGGTCGGCTGCCAGGGCTGGGTCCCTTGGGACGGGAAGGGCTCTCACCCACACCACTCTGGGGTGCCCCACGTGAAAACAGCCTGGTGGCATGGCCATGGGGGCCTCATTTTATACTCCCGTCTGGGAGGAAGCAGCTGTGAGTTCTGGAGGATGGCGAGGAGGAGATTATCTGGTGCCCGCAGGGTGTGGCTTATGGGTGTGATTCCTGGGTCACTGGAGACTGGGGAAAGCAGGCAGAGTGCTGGACCAACTGACAGTCAACAGGTCAAGAGGGAAGATGAGGATCAAAGAAACTATATGCAAGTGGTTGAGAGGGCTGAGTTCTCGTGGAACAAGAGCATTGATCTTTATTTCAGGCAACCTCTTAAACATCTCTGTCAGGAACTTGGCAGGTAAAATCATCCATTGTAATTGCAAAAAACATATTCCCAAGATTGTACATTTTCTTGATCATAGTAAATACAGAAAGCATAATATAATGACAATACTGTTACTTAGATCAATAACTGGAAATAAGAACAAAGTGAAAATAATAATAACAAAGTACATTGAAGAACACTGACCATTCCTGTATTCTTTATGTGATTTGCCAAAGGTGTAATTTCCTACGTGTGCCACAAAATTACAATACATCCATTTCTCATTAACTTCTCTTGCAAACTGAGGATGGTGAAGTATTAACTTCTCCGTAGGCTTGGGTTGGCGACATAATGACCTCTCCACGTACTAGGGGTGGCGGGACAGAGAGCTATGCCAAGTACACTTGGCCCTCTGAGTGAGGCAACTCCCAGGGCTACGTCCACTTACGGACCCTGCATAAGCAGGCAGCTCCCCGCAGCAGAAGATCTCTGTTCCCGGGTCCCTTTGAGTCCAGAGTCCAAGGTCACAAAGTTCTGCATTACCTGGGTCTGTGGGACTTCATGAATGAGGCTCGGCCCGAGCATCCAGAAAGTGGCCTGGAACGTGGCGGTGGTTGGGTAGTGGAAGTCGGCTGCCGGGGCTGGGTCCCTTGGGGCGGGGAGGGCTCTCACCTGCCCCACTCTGGGGCACTTCGAGTGAAAACCTGGCGCGGAGTCCCTATAACCTTGTACTAGGTATAAATAAAGGTCTGAGCAGGATGGAAGAAATGGAACCCTCAGAAGATAAATGGTGCAGAGTATAAAAGTGTAATAGAGGAACCCAGAAGAGGTAAGTCTCCATAGCCTGTCCTCACCAGTGAGCCAACTAGTTCCATCCCCAGCATCAGCCCACATGTCATATGCAATGCCACTGACACAGCAAATTGTGAGTCTCTGGAACACTGCAGACAGGTGTGTTTCCAAGCACCGCAGTGGCAGTTTATGGTGACCACTGGTAGCCAAATGTGCAAGCATTTCAGTTAAGTGTTTAACCCCAATCTTCACAACAAAGAGGGGAAGGGTGAATTATTGTAATAATAACAACAGTAGAAAGGGAGTCAGAAGTCCTGGTTTCAATTCTTTTTTCTTTTTTTTTGGCTTTTTAGGGTCACACTCAGCGATGCTCAGGGTTTACTCCTGGCTTTGCGCTCAGGAATCATTCCTGGCAGTGCTGGGGGACCATGTGGGATGCCGGGGATTGAACCCGGGTCGGCCGCATGCAAGGCTTACCTACTGTACTATCGCTCCGGCCCTCTCGGTTCTTTTTTCAATATTCATTTAAAAAATTTTTTTGAATTTAAATACTGATTTATAAAGTTGTTCACAATGCAGTTATTTCAGGTATTAAATATTTCAACACCAGTCATACCACCCAGTGTGCCCTTCCCTCCACCAGTATCCCAGTTTCCTGCCCCCACCCCCCAGGCTTTAGGAGGCACAAAATAATTGACTTTATATTGCTTTTGTTGTTACTGTGTCTGGCATGCTTTTGTTAACAACATGTATCTCATAATGACATTGCTAAAAGTCATGGCCTGAAGATCTCCTGAGCTGTTAGTGGGAGTTGAGCCTTCTGTGTTAGCTGTTTTCACTCCTTGAGCTTGGTGGGCTTCTACCCGATTTTTTATTTTATTTTATTTTTTTTTGCTTTTTGGGTCACACCCGGCAATGCACAGGGGTTCCTCCTGGCTCTGCACTCAGGAGTTACTCCTGGTGGTGCTCAGGGGACCCTATGGGATGCTGGGAATTGAACCCGGGTTGGCCGCGTGCAAGGCAAACGCCCTCCCCGCTGTGCTATTGCTCCAGCCCACGGCCTGATTTTTTAATCTAATTTTCTTTGCTTCTACTTGGCTGTCAGTTCTGAAGTTTGAAGGTGTCACAGAGCTGCATATGTGGCTGCATGCTTCAGGAGCTTTGGAGCTGGGATGATCTGCAGCTGTTATTTCTGATACAGACCAATTATGAGCCATTTGTCTGATAGCGGCAGGAGCTGCATGTGGGTGGGTGGAGCGCTGGACCTTTGGCAGGGCAGGGACTCCATCTGCCTCCATCCTACTAAGTCTCCAAAGACCGGGGCCCAGTGGTGCTCAGGCTTACCTGCTGAGTTATTTTAGATACCTCAAATAACTCAGCTGCCAGCATCTCTCCGAGATCAGTAGTGAAGATCCTGATTCCAATTCTTAATTTTTTGTTTTATTTTGGGGTCACACCTGGCAGTGCTCAGGGCCTACTCCCAACTCTGTGCTCAGGGATCCCTCCCAGTGGTGCCCAAGGGATGATGTGGTACTAGGCATTGAACTACCAGGTCTTTGTCACTTCCGCACACTTGGTTATGGTGCTCGCAATTGTGCTCACAACTGTGCCAGAATAACCAAAAATGGAGCACCAGAGACCAAATAGCCTAGCTTCTGGGATATTTCATGAACATGTAAACTAGTGCTAGGGATCAAACTTGCAGCCTCACTGACATCTTGCAAGATAGGCACTATACCTTTGAATTATTCCCAAGCCTCCTAGATTCAATGTTTTTATTTTATTCTGAGTTTTGGGCCATATCTGGTAGTGCTCAAGGATCCCTCCTGACAGGGTTCAGGGACCACATCAAGTACTAGGGATTGAACTCAGGTTGGCCATGTGCAAGGCAAGTTCCCTACCCTCTGGACTATCTCACCAGCCCTTCCATTCCTTTTGTTTTGTTTTGGGACCATACCCAGGGATTCTCAGGAATTACTCCTGACTCTGCACTTGGAAGTTACTCCTGACAGTGCATGGGGGACCATACAGGGTGCCAGGAATTGAACTGTTGGTTGCACACAAGGCAAGTGCCCTATTCATTGTGGCTATCTCTCCATCCCCAGCCCCTCAGTTCTTATTTGCTTCAGTGAGAACATTGAAGACTAACTTTGAAAAGCAAGAGCCATAGTACAGCAAGTAGTTCACTTGCCTTGCATGTGGCTGACCCGAATTCAATCCCCAGCACCCCATATGATTTCCCTCAAGTCCTATAAGGAGTGATCCAAGACTCCTTCAGACTCTTTCAGACCCTCAAGTCTGAATTTTTAAGAAATTATTCAGATTAGATGTGAGAGACTAGAATTTGATGATACTATTTCTTGAAATAGTGAATATAGGAACAAACACATGGTACATGGTTAGTAGTACTAATTCGGCACAATTAGAATGTAAAGAAAGTTTAGGGTACTTAAGCAGTTCACAGAACTGAAAGGAGAAGCAGACTGCAAAGAATAGAGTCAGCCCATGGACACCTGCAGCAGGCAGTTGTCATCGAAAGACTCAGTTTCAGTCACCTGTCACGTCCTTTTCATGTCCAGATTCCCAGGAGAAAGAATCTGACCAGTTTTGTTTGTTTGTGCTGGGGTGGGGTTTACACCCAGTGATATTTGGGGTTACCTGGCTCTGCACTCAGGAATTACTCCTGGCGGTGCTTGGGGGACCATATGGGATGCCGGAGATTGAACTCAGGTCAGCCTTTTGCACGCAGCCTTTCTCACTCTACTAACTCCAGCCCTGAATCTGCCCAGTTAAGAGATGGAAGACCAGAGTGTCTACGATGACAGGAAAGTAGACGGTGATGATGAGGAATGTGGATTACAAAGAACTATGAGGAAAGTTTGGGATGAAAATATCCATTGTTTCTGTTGTAGCAGTAGCTTCGTGGGCGTATAAATATGTCAGAAACCA